GTTCTCAAAAATATACTCGGGAAGTTTTTTCGTTTTCTACAGCACTACATAAAACTCAATGAAATATTGTTTAAAAATAATTGTTTTAATTTAAACGTTTGTAAACATTGGATAAGTAATAATATTTTCAAATAATCTATTTACAAAAAAATGTTTTCGATACTTCGAGTATACGGTTATGTTATGCGTGTAACACAGTTACTAATACCTATGTATTATTCTATAGACATTATTTTGTTTATTTATTGTTACGCGATTTTTGCTTATTATTAAAAGTATTTCGTAAATCATAAATATTCAAAAATTAAATTATTTGTGCTACTTTAGATTATTAATACTACAATATGTATTTCATGTAAATAACCGTTACCTAATAAGTTATGATATGTTGAAATATATCCGTTTAAAATTGCATAAATAAATAAACTCTAAAGACCTCGACCTTTTTAAAAATAAATCTTCAAGTTTCGCCAAAAATATCGCAATATTATTTAATATATTAATTATATTAACTATGTTATACATTTTATGATTATATGCATTATATTAAATTATAGCCGACCGAACAGTTGAATTTGAAACACCTAAATAAATAATTCCTTTTCTTTTCAATAGGTCACAAAGAAAAAGCTCGTTCTCACCGCTTATTATTAAATATTGTTATTTTTGCATGAAAAAAGATAGAGTTACACAAAACCCCCACCCTGATATTAGGATTTTTGGTTTTTTTAATATTCCCACCGTAAATTATATTAGTTGTTTGACATATTTCAGAATTTTATTGGACTTCTTACGTATTTTTATCCAGGGCTTTCAAACAATAGCTTAAGAGATTTTGATTGATTTATCAACTTTTAACAAACATAATTAACATATTTTATATAATAAAAGAAAAAATTTGTGTGCAAGCGAATTAATGTATTAATAAAAAATGAAAATTTAATTAGGTAATAGAAGTATAACTGTGTAGGTTTTTGTTACATTACACTGAATAATATTATTTAGTAGTTGAATGTAAACCGACCCGGTCAGTGTTTTCTATAGGGTATTTTTAGGGTATTTTTGAAGATAACGCCACCCGCCGGATAAATTTAATATTATCCAAAAGAAACAATCAGTTCCCCGTGTATTCTCCGTCAGCAGCGGCAGACGGCTGCGTGGCGGTGCAATATTTGCGTGTGCACCAACACATCACCAAGACTAATGGCAGTTGTGGCAAGTAGTGGGACCGAAACGGTCATATACGCATGCGCAACTGGTGGAAAAATTGTATTTGCTCGTCCACACACTGGTGCCATGCCGCTGCGAATCGCGTGCGATGGCATACCTGTAACGTGCGATAACATTCGTTTTTCTCGATTTTTCGCATTAAATATTTCTTTAATTCTGTAAAATATTGTTTATTCTTGTCTCTTAAGTAAATATGAATAATAATTTATAATTTATTTTTATATTTTTATATAATATAACAAAACAATGTACGTATAGTTTTCAAAATTGTAGGCAGTGCACTGCTCCCGTGAACCATAGCAGGAGCCGCCACTGATAATATTATAACAACGCTGATAAAGAGATTTTAGTACTCGCGTTCTCTAAATAGGAATTCCTAAAATATGAAATCATCGGATGCGGCGAGATCTTATTTCAAATCAACCAATAACAACATCGCTTTGGAATCATGGCACTCATAAAAGGGGACCCGGAACGAGGGCCAGGCAGACGTGTCTTACCGAGATCTCTGGACGAACTTCTCACGCCGGTCTTAACACCCGTGTATATCCGAGAATACTGGCGATTAATCACCAATAATTGTTAATTGATTTTATTGATATTGTTAATAAAGTATGTATAACGCTTATAATAAAATGTCTCGGTTTTAATTCCATTTATTTTACGCAAAGTAGTCCGTACTAGAAGTTCGGACGTAACAGACGTATATAGCACAAACGAATTTTGAAACGTGCCAAACATGTACAAACATATGACGTATTAAAAGTCCAGAATTCAAAAAGGAAACGGCAGATTTTAACGTATGTAGGTACATACAAAACGCGAAGAATACTTACTATATTCTGTTTGTTTTAATCACGCTTTGTGCATATTATTATTATGTTTTTATCGGTAAGTACTGCTAATACACTGAGCGCCGTTATGACTTTAATCCGGATTTCTCAAAAACACTTGTATATACCTTCAAATATTTAACTTACATTGCAGTGTTTATAAGTATAATAATATGGTAGCGTCTATTATTATTGTTGTTATTTGCCTTTCGACTATAATGTTGTTATGATAACATTGATAACACTATCAAAACCCGAGAGAATTGTATTTGTTCTCGTACTTATATTGCACCAATTAATATTGCAATAACGTACAATGTAATAATAATATAGGAACGCATTTCTTATTCACCAGCCACAGCAGGATAAGTATTACTAATTGTATTTTTCGGGAAGGAGGCCGGTGCAAGGGGAATGCAAATTTAATGTTAGGTTACCTACTTATATATAATTAATACCATATACTTCCTAGTTAACAGCATTACGCAGCTCTTGTGTTTGTTTAAAAATTAACGCTATACGTACGTATTATAACGAACCCAGATTAACACAACGCAACGCACTACAATATTGTTATAATATTGGGTTTAGAATTAAAAAAAATAAAAAAATCTAGTTTCAGTTGTGTGGTTTAAATGAATTTCATGCGTATTATTTGTGTATATTATAGCCATACAACTTTATCAATCAACCGATGTATAGGTAGGTACGTATCGATCGTTTAACGTTGAATAAAACTTAACGTTTTGAAATCACTGTGTTTGACGTTTACGTTTATGCAATTTTCGGAAAATTGTCGTCTTCATTTGCACATATATTTTTTCGGTACTTATTTAACGCTTTAAGGACAATTTTAATCCATCAATCACGACGACTAGATATCATATTACGTTTTTAACCAAATACACAATAATTTTGTAAACATCGTGGTAATACTATGGCGAACAATCATTATTAATTGTATTTACGCGTACTAAATCAGACTATGTGACTGTCACTTATCTAAAATCATGCGTATCTTGAGTAAAAAAATAATCAACAATGTTGGAATTAAGACGCTTAAAATAGCTACAAGATTTTCAAAAAAAAGTTACGTTTCGTATAATAGAAGAAAAAAATCTTGTAAAGCGATTAGCCGTTTTCTGTGTTAGTAAAGTTTTGTTAGCTATATTATGTACGTTTAGCAGTTTTTTTTTATCAAAATATGGCAATTTTAGATTATCTGAGAAAAATTAGTTTAATTATTCTATGATAAAAATAGGCAATAATATAATAAGTAGGTATAATAGATTCGTGTTCATTAATTAATTTCAAAAATATGTAGATCCATAAATCATTTTCTCAAACCTTAGTTTTTTTTAGATTCCGAGCGTATCAAGGGAGTTATTGGTTTTACTAAGATGTTTATTTTTTTGTTTTTTATTTTATTCTTCTAGGCTGTGAGCACGGTTTTTCCTAGTAAATTTGCTCCGATTTTGAGGTATAGCAACTTTTCTGAAAGCTCAATTTGTTTAGATTGTATTTCAAAGGTCATTTTTTGATTTTTGATGCCATTTTTAAAAGAAAGCACTAAAGTGTAAAAAATGTAGAAAAATTTACAATTTCAAGATTTCATTATTTCAAAAAAACAAGACGATGTTTCCTATCAGAAAAAATACCCCAATCGAAGAATCATGTTGATTTTTTATTTAATTTATTATCGTATCATCGCCAAAAACTTATGAGCCAATTTTAAGCTTTTAAGGAATTTTAATGTTTAGGAGTTTTTAACTTGATAACAATACTTATATTGGACTTACATAGACGTGGCAAAATTTCCAAAATCATTGGACGACTTTTTCTTTTTTTTATAAGCGTTTTGAAATCTAATTAAAACGAAAATCACAAAAAAAAAAAAAAATACTGCACTTCAAATTATATATTATCGAATCGTCTTTCGTCAAGAAATCGTTTATTGTTGCATACAGATATAAATGAAATAACTTTTTGTATCCTACTTTCCCAAATTCTCACCTGCAACAGCGGCCGCTCTCATCCCCAGTATCAGCTTTTTTTTTCTTATTAGTAAAAAAATAATAAAATAAAAAAATAAAATGAAATTATCTCAGGCGAGAAATAATGTTCTTTATGGTGAAGACTATACTAGTATAATACAACTGCAGGAGCTGTACAGATATTTCGTCCGTTCTAAAATAACTGAGTTGAAAAGTTTCAATAATAAATATTTATCGGCCTGTAAACTTTGCCTTTCTTTACATATAATGCGATTTGTTGTCTAATTATTATTAATTGATAGGTTTTGTAATTCACCCTGTATAGATAATACCAATACCTAATGTACAACTATATATTATTGTTACTTATTTCGAACAATTCAAACAAAGAGCAGCATTTAAACATGCGTCCAAACCGAAACTGATTATAGATCCAAAATTCTATTGAGTAAGTTTAATGTTATTACACTTTTGGTACATGAAATGTGGGTATTTCATTATTTTATATTTTAAGCGTATGTTGATTTGTATTTTTAAACCTATATGCACACAAACGATATTATTCACTGAACTTTCCGTGATTCGTAATATCAATAATATTAATAACAACGATTAAATTATTGTAGTCACAGCGGGATTTGGCGAGAGAACTTCAGACTATTGTAATCTGAAATCCTTTATTTTTTTTTCGCTTTTCGTTTTTGGCACCGGGTTTACGTATGCGTTGTTAAAATAATGGCTACATTATATATTCTTTTTTCTTTTTTTTCCTTTTCTTTTTTTGTTGACCTTTTTTTTTTCATTCAACGCATAAACACTGTAGTAAATGTTCCGAAGACGTACGAGTTTAATGGCAATAATGTCAGTTTTTATTGCTCGGAATCACGCTAATAACGTTGCCACGCAGACGGAAATGAACAGTGAGCGAGTACGAGAAAGCAAATGCTGTCGAAAAGAAAAGACGGGCAGAGAGGTGGAATATTTTATTTTGTCGTTGATCCGATCGCATACGAACATCCGGTGGCAGATATAAGCCTTATACTAATTAAATCGGCTACGTGTTGTTATTTTTGTGTTCCACGAGGTATTTCCCGGGATCAGTAGTTTTACGTTACCTATACTTTATATCGATGACCGAGCTATTTCATTTCGTCCTTCTCCACGATCGAAGAGTAGATATAAACACACGGAGAACGAGAGAGAAACCAGGGCAAACACAATTTACCCAGTGTTTTTCTTTAATTAACCCGTTTTCTGTTTGCTGCTTTTTTTCTGTTTTCCAAGACGAGGGGACGAAAACTTGTACAGAAATATTCGTTAGGGGGCAACGATAATCTAATATTGTACGAGTATCTATTTAACTATGGCACGCCGCCGGGTTCGTGTAAATCGTCTGAAAGGTCTGTTACGCGGAGACTTTTCTTCCGGTCGAAGAGAAAACGGAAGGAGGATCCGTTATAACGGACCCTATTTGTTCACAAAATCGAATTTATTTCGACTATAATACTATAATAATATAATATTGTACTGGTGAACTAGCGCATATAAGTGGGCTTGTTATTCCGTAACAAGAAAAATATCTTATTCTTTCACGGTCTAATATTGGCCATTCGGACCCTCTTACGCCTATCCATACTTCTCCGTTGTCAGCTAATTCTTCGCCGTTTATTACTCCTTGTATTTACAGATCGCTCCTAACTCTATCTACCCTTCTTTGTTTTGGTCACCGTAATGACATTTTTCCATTGGGGATCCATTTCTCACATTTCAAATTGTCCTGTCATGTTAATACACTTGTTCTCTATTGTCATCACTATGTCTTCAAATATTTTTCCAAACAACAGAATGGTTCGTTATTTCCCAGGCCGGTCAATCGATATTTTTGTTGGCCTAATATCTTTCGTAATACATTCCTTTCGCATATAGTTATCTATTGTTCAATTTCGTTTGCCATAATCTGTGGCATACAAAGTAAGAACTATGCGTACCTTACCTTATATTATCATTACTTGATATTACGGTGTTCTTTTTTGAAATAAGCAAAACGTCGGTTTGAAAACTGTAGGTTATAGAAAAATTGGCTGTATTAATTAATTGTTGGACTTCTCTATGATTCTCTGGCGACGGTAATAATTTTGAAAGAAGTAGAAAATTGAATGATTATAAAAAACGAATGCTCAAGTTCACATTTTGAATTTGTAGATAGTTACGCGCGTTCGCTGTTCCTGTTCAAAATATCAAATCGAGTACAGAAGAAACATTGTTTTTACTAAAAAACTGTATTAAGAGTTCGTCATTATTATAGTTAGTACTTATATTTATTTTAAAAGTTAGAACACATAGTATAGGTATACAAATGTACCGAAATACGTTGGTAATGTGTTCATATTTCTGTAAAGTTTATAAGTTTACCTACTATTTTGACACTTTAAGATGAAACTATTGACTTTGAATATTGTACAAAATTGAACAACATACATCTCGTAACGTACGTCTCGAAAAATTCGAGTTTAAAGATTTAACAATCTTGCAGTCTTACAATTTATCATTATTACGAAAAATTTATAAAACCTAATGTCAATCATAATATATTCATTTGACAAAAAAAATAAATTGTACTTAAGTACAAGAAAAATTAGAAAACTGTATAATACCGTTGTACAATATATTGTGACGTATTTTCTTAGTGGCGTAGAATTTATATTACTATAACATAATCGAAAATGTTCAAAACTTAAATTCCATTTTTGTATACAACGTACGAAAATATTAAATTTGTGTTCGTAATGTTGAAGACGAATGTGCAGAAACCATTTAAATATTTTCTTTTAAATAAATAAACGAACAAAAGCCATTTATACAATAGTATCAAGCTAGTTAACAAAAAGTTAATAATATAATAATAAGTTCATCGTTAACAATCATTTAAGTAAATTTTTAGGTATAAAAGTGCTTATAAAAATATAAAATATGATAATAAACAATATGGACACTGTTTTCATCCCTTATCAGACGACACCCGGGTTTATCTTTACTTCAATCGATTACACAAAATTATAAGACTGAGTTTTGTCAAATAGGTTTTTTATATATATAGAATACGATCATTTAATATCGCCTAATAGACTTTTATAGAAAATACATTTCACATTAAATGTATTTTTCCATTGAAACCTACATCTATCTGCCCCGCAGTTACGAGAATTCTTTAGTAGGATTTATATTAAAGCAAAAGGAAGTTTTATAAATGATGCCTTGATTTCGAATATTCACTTCATCTTTTGTATAAACGCGATTTTTCGAAAAAATTTTTAAATGCACTTCTTTTAATTCCACATCAAATTTAAAATTCTCAGAGCATTTTGCTCACATTAAACGCCACGATACACTTCGTCGGTACCTATACCTTTAACGCACTGCTGTGAATTTCAATCTACTTAAAAATGTATACAGGAAACATTCTGGTTTTGAACGTATAATATTTTATTGACACATATCATGCGTGAAACTTTCGAGTAACTCGCAGTATGAATTATTCATCTCATATACAGCGCATTACAGTTCTTGAAATATCTATACTTTACATTTTACAATATTAAACGAATAGGTATACATACACTACCACAAGGAACGCAATATTTATTGAGCATATCGGAGATATTATTATTAAATGAATAACAATCAGTAAACGAATAAATGACAAACCACTAAAAACTTTACAAAAAATGGATAAAAAAATAATAATTATAATAATAAATAGTTGTATATTTTTAACCATAAACGAAGGTAATAAGTTAATGACAATTTTACATTTCATAATTTGTCAAAGCAAATGCTATTTATAATTTCTTTTTTTTAAATAAACTTCCATGCCAATAATTTGTATACACAATAGTATTTTTTTTTTTTTTTTGTTATGTACATATAAATATTTTGAATTGTAAAAATTATTGTATTTTTGAAAATAATAATAGATTATAATAGGTTTCTATAGAAATTGTGACGTGAAAAAAAATATTCGTTATAATAATTAAGCGTATTGCTAATTAAATTTTTTACGCTAATTGTTTCGTCTATTTTCGTAACATTCAATGATTTCCCTCTAAAATTTCAGATTTTTTAAAGCTGTCTTGGCTTTTTTTTAGATCTTGATATAACAAAGAAGGCGCTATAGTTTCACTATAATGGGTGCACATTATTTTTTCTTCGAAAACACTCTTTCGGTCGAGCATTAAAAATGATCATTTTTTTTTTTATGATAACATTTGGGGTACTTAATATGAAATAATTATCAAAATGTTCGGCAGTTTACCCACCGGTATTATTTTATGTTTTTTCTGGATATCTTTGGTCACTAGGTAAAAAATTTAAAAAAAAAACCACAATTAATACATTTCCGTTCAGAATCGTTTTTCATTTACAACGGTATGTCATTCCATAAAGTATATATAATAATAATAATTATAATAATATATATAAATAATATAATATAAATTATTATAATAATAACCTAATTAATTCGTGTACCTCATCTTAAATAACCAACTTGACACATAGACTTACCCATAAGTAGCATCAACTTTTTTTATTTATACTCTAACCAATCAAATCGCATTCCTATACCAACAAACGCTAAGTTTAGAAAATCGCATTCCCTCGGTAACCTATATTAATTTCCCAGAAACGTGTTGTAGATAAGTAGAAATTTATCGTTTATTTATTTACAAGGGTCACAATTGACATGAGAAGACCCGGGAAACGTCGATAAACACTGCAATAAATAAATATATGAGCCGATCGAACGGAAGAACGATAATGTCCACGAACCTATACTATATTTGTTCAGACGTATTGAAGAACAATCGATATTTCACTTTACGTTGCTTCGAGGGCACAATAATAATATTATTATTTAGAGTTTTTCGTTTTGCTTATGGTCAAAAAATTGCATTGTCATCGGTGTAGCGGCTGAGATTTCAAATCATTTATCGTTTGACCGAAATCAGTTGAGATTAATAATCATATTATAATATAATAATTAAATACCTACTATAGATAACAATACGGAAGACTCATTGATTTATCAGGAACACCAGTTGTAGAGTTCAATTTCATAGCAAATTGTCTATACAAACCCTTTGAATTTATTTATTAATAAAATATGTCATTGTAATTTTATGATACAAATAAATTATTTTTAGTGAATGAACTAAAAACAAGGACGGACATACATGGCATGTGGGTACAGCCACTTTTATAGGTGCGCAGTTGGCAAAGTAGGATACAAACGGAAATTCAATGTATATCTGTAAGCAACGATAAACTATTGCTAACGAAAAAATGGTCTTAAGCGGAGTTCAGATGATAGTGTTACTTTGTCATCAATGAATATCAAATTATATTATGTTAAAATTATTACAACAATGTGCGTTTCTATGACAAAAATGATTTTTTTAAAATATATTAAAATGATAAAAATTAAATTACAACAAAAAATAAATAAAAACGGATGCCAATGAAAACCTTATTCTTAATATTTCCATCTTTTTTAACCTAAAGAACCAGGTTTTCCTCATTATCCTGAATAATAATGATAATTTCAAAAAAAACCTCTCTAAAGTACTACTCAGAGTACACTTGTTTTCAGAGAAGGTGCTATATCGGAGTAAGATTTTTGGTGTAAAATTTGTTCACATAAAAAAAATTTAAATACATTTCTCGCTCCACTCAGAATCTAAAATTTATTTTTTAAACAACATTCTTGTTGCATTTCACAATTTGTTGTTTTGTGTAATTAATAATATAATTAAAAATATTATAAAAGTATTTGTAATGGAACCGGGTTGGTATGTACAGTAATATATTAATAGTACCTAGATAATGAAACTTTTAATTACTATCTTACATTTTATTTAACCGAAGATTGCTAATAATAAAGCTGACAGTAACTAATGTCTTAGATACTTTATACACCCAAAAAGACTTTCTTTTTTTGCTTGTGTTCAATTTCGGAATTTTAATATTGAATTGTAAGATATATGTATATTTATACATATATCATATATATATAAGTCTATAATTTTGTAGTTTTGATAATAATAATTGTGAATTATTTTCAAAAATGGATATTGAGAAAAGAGTGCAAAATCATTTCAAATATTAAATACGTAAAACTTGAACGCATCAAATGCATCTCTATATTTATCGTGTGTAAAAAAAATTGTTTCACATTTTAACGTGACACCTCGGTGATTGATTACATGTAAACTAAGAGAAATGTATCATTAAGTTGGCCACACTATTATTATGTGTCTTGTTAGTCTATTTAAAATTTAAGATTTAAGATAGTGTGATTACTCAACCAGTTATGATAAGATTATAGATCTTATACAAGAAAGTATAAGGGTAAGCTGAACCAGAGGTTCCCAATATAGAAAGTGTTTATATCGAAAGTGTTTTAGTGCAAAAAAGCAATTGCGCATCCTAAGTTTTAAAAAGTCACATTGAGATATTTAGTGATGTTCTCAACGACTTATAAGTGCGAACAAAGGTTTTCAGGAATATTCTATACAAAAAATAAACAATGAAACCAGTTGGACGTCACTAAAGACATGCGTCTATCTTTGAGCAGTATTCCCTCAAGAATATCTTTGTTATTAAAGAAAATTCATGTCCAAAATTCTCATTAAATTTTTTTTATAATAGAAGTTTACGATAAATTATTAATAATTTTAAACATTACTTGAAATTAATTAATTGTAAACATTATTATAAGGAATAACCTATAAGGAATTTCATTGTTTTTTTGTTTATTTCATAATCTAAATTCTAAAATATGTTAAAACATTTGATTATTATTTATAAGAAAAATAAGGTCTAAAATCGAGGTGGTCCGAGACATATTTAAAGTTCTCCGACTAGTCCATAGTGTCAAAAATGTTTGGAACCACCGAACTAAACAATATAAAGTCTATTGATACAACGGCCACTGAAATAAATCCGGAGGTCTTTCGAATTAGACCCCCGATTATAACGGACTATTTCTTTGCTATCATTTACATATTGTATGATTATCACAGTCGTGATTATAATCTTATTCCGGTATCAAATACAATTTTTCATATCGCGAAGACTATAATAATTCTATTCTGGTCTAGTTTTGTTCTTCGTGTCTTGTATGAAAATAGTTTTCATTTTAATTGCTGGTTGCGCTTATAACGTTACAATCTTATCGTCACGTAATTTTCAAATTCGTATTATCGTACATGCCGTACGATTATGGTTTTTCAATAACTCGCCGGGCGACTTTACTATCTTAAATATAATTGCAATTCCAAACTGAACGTTCGACTGTACCACACCGTGATGTGTGCATACACACATGTAAAATATATACGCGCACCGTTTATCATGTTATCACAATCGACGAATATTACCATAAAATACCGTTATTATTATTGTTTTAAAATACGAGATAGAAAATGCAATAATACACGCGCGGCCGTGCACGGTTCGGCCGTAGCTGATTTGATGGCCGGCGGTTATATTTTTTCACAAGGGTCCATTATAATAATATATTTCACCGCGGCGGCGAACGTTTGAAGGGACGTCGTGCGAAAGCCGGATCGCATTTATGGGTTTTACACCGGTATTATTTATAGCGCTTTTAGCCGTTAAAAGCGCTCGGTTTAAAATATAATATATTTGCGGCTGACAGTGTACCGCTGAACCTGAACGCACACACGTATATAGTAGGTGCGTTCTCCTAACAGCCGCTATAGATTATCGTTTTTGTGTGTTTTTATGCACGGAAAACTAAAATATTATCATCGTCGGACGATCATTTACCATTGTGCACTAGTTACTTTTTACTAAAAAATATTCGACCGGTATATTAACAAATATTCATTGTTTTATTATTAGATATCAGGCGTGCCGATTAGATTTCCGAATTTGTAGGTACACTGCAATACCCAACGATGTCCGTATGTTTCGTTATTTCAGTATTTTACTAAAATGATAACATGACATATTTCAGCGGGACGGATAGTATGACCGCATCGGGTTTTATTTTTATTTTTAGGAAGATTAGAAGTCTTCGATACATACATTGTAATACGGATTTGAAATTTTTAATGTCACGGTAGTCGAAAGCGCAACAAGACTCACATTTTCTTAAACGGAAGTGTTTATTTTCAACACAAGATACCAATAGTCCAATTTCTAAACAACATTGACAAATAATACGATATGTTCCTGTTACAAAAATTTACTGGGAATAAGCCATATAAAGTTTTAAAAATATGTTTTTTTTTTTTTTTTTTTGATTTGAACCATACCCATCAAAAAACCGGCTTATAGTACGGTATATTTTGAAGCCACACGAGTACGTACGAGTCGTACGAGTTTAATACTATTGAACTCGTAGTTCCCATAGTCGTATTGTGCGAAATGAAACGCTTGCAAAGTTTTCGTAAATCATAAGGCTTAAAGGTCTGAGCGAAATTGTCTACACCACTGCGAAAGCCGTCGTACACGCTGTTCATTGGTCCGCTTCATAAAATATGATATACGTTTCTCCTATCTGAGTACTATAGTAATAATAATTCAGTCTCCGTGGCTACGCTGATCGTGTGCCGCGTAAATTTATATAAAGTTTGCGGTCCATATAATATATTATAGATTAATAATCGTACACCGTTCCTGTATAATTTTGCGACTTTTGAATTCAAATACGTTATCGTATTATAATATTATCATTACAGTATACCACGAAGAGCGGAAGAGACGCATACTTTATCTTCACATTTCGCGTGACATTATAATCTTATATCTGAGTAAAGTGTGCAGGATAAAGCCTGTGCGTCTATGTTGCACGGTCGGGTTTTGTTTGTCCCAAAATTATGACATTTGAGACGTGAAATTATTCTGGCCCTTAAAGAAAATTATTTTGTACAATTTGAATAATATGAAAATGTTATGATAAAATTAAACTACTCGTTTAAACGATTTTTGATATAATTGATTACATTTGTTGTTAAATCAAATGATACGTCATAATAATTTTGACAGTTTATTTTTCATGGTAACACTATAACTACCGATTAATTTCTATGACGATGCTTAGGGTAACTCGTTCAAACCATGAATATTATTTATTATTAAGTATCATAAACTTGTCATTAAATCATAACTAAAATACCGAAAGAATACCGAAGTAGCGTGACCACCCAATGCGTTAAGCAATGGTTGTGTAGAAAATATAAATATTATTGTTTATTTCTTCGAAAGGATATGTTGATGGGTATGAAAATTGGTTTAACCACAATATTATTGTGCAATAATTAATAAATTAACCAATCATTAATATGATTAATATTATGATACAAAAGTCTTCCAGAACATTTTTTAAACAGACTTATAACCAATGACGATCTCCTGATGGTAAACAAAAATCGATTATTGAAAACAACATTGCGAAATTCGCAATCATTTGAGAGATAGAGCGCACACGGAGGATTACAGAGAGACGAACAAAATCATAACAAACGCTATTTAATAAAACTTATGTATACTCAAAAAATTAATTTTAGTAAAACTGATTAATAATAACGATAATAATCAACAATTAAATTAAAATATATGCAATATTTAACGGCAACAATCGAAAACATCATCATGATTTTCAGCTTTGCGCGTAGTATCAAATATCTTCTTTTTTTTTTATGGCAGACAAAGAAAGAAATCAATTTTTAAACAAAACAAACTGAAAGCGACGAAACAATTATTATAAAAAAACTTTTTATAATTATACTATCGAACAAACATCATCATAACGATGCCAGACATATTCGTCATACGAAATTATAAATGGGGTAACTTCGAAATAATATTGTAAACGTTTACTTGCGATATTTTGTAGGTTACAGCCAATCATTAAATCCAAACTGCTGTACATTAGGAATGTATGGCATCACGCGAACCTATAGTGCACGAACAATTATTATTATTATTTGACTTTTATAAATATGAAAGTTATAAAATCGCAATTGTTGCAGTTGTTGCTTTACACAATACGAAAGGTAGCTGTGTATAGGGTGTAAACGCGAAAAATTTGCGAATAAAATCGTCATGATACTCGTGCCTATTTTACGAATAAAATAATAAATATAATACTAAAATTAAAACTATACGCGTATATGTATGAATATAAAATCAATCAAGAAAATTGTTTTTAGAAACAATTATAAGCGTCAAAAATACGACATGCGCCGTTTAATCATTCGAGTCGCAAAAAAAAAAAAAAAATTATTTGTAATAATTTTGTTTTGTTTTGTGCAGTGGAAGAGGGGCGGGTGAGAGCGAGAAACGCTCCACCAACGGCGGAGCCAGTGACGACGGCATTGCGTGCAAAGTTTCCCGACGTTATTTTAATTATTATCTTCGAACATTCTACTCGCCCCCTTTCGTCAGCTATGTATTTATTATTTTTCTTTACGTTATTGTATAGAACTTCGACTAGTACACTACGAACACACTGCGGGTGGGCGTCTAAAAGAAAAAGAGGAAGTCCACGAGAGACAAAGACGACGACAGAATGTGAGCGAGAGAAATAAACGAAAAATACTTTTTCTCTTCCGTCACCTCTTATCTATATGCTCGTATATATATAATAATATATTCGGTCACAGTGGAGAAAGTTTTTTTTTTTTTCAATTTTTTCCCTTATACATGTATATATTATGATGAAGAAAGAAAGACTCCTGCAGCCGGAATAACAAAACAATTGTGTAGTCCGGGAGAGCTTGATTAACGGTTTTTTGTCGTTGTTATTGTTGGTTTTTATTTTTCAGCTCGTATAGCCGACGGGTCGGCAACTTTATTGCTGCCACCACGGCCGACCGGAACTCTGTCCACGCCGCGCGCGCGAAAACCGAAAAACCAAAAAAAAAAAAAAAAAAAACGCGGTATATACGTCACTTTAAGTATACACATATATACACCGCAGTGGCGGCCGTTCTATTAAATCTGTTTTGGAAATACGCGAGATTTCACCCGTGCCTGTGAACGCCGCAGTCATCGTCTCGTATATAAATCGACCGTGAAAACGAGCGGCAGAAGTATATATGCTAAACGCCCCCCCTCCCCTTTTCTCCCCGAAAACCACTAGGGAAACGAGGATTTGATAAATTATAGGAGTTCCGCGGTGCGGTAAAAAGCGATGTGGCAAATTCCGCGCAATTGTTAGCGTACTAATATTATTAATTGGATGTTTAACGTTAATGCCGTGACTCTTTGCAACGACAATAACACGTTCCCATATCTGATGACGGAATTAAGTGTAATTGTTTTTTTTTTTTAATTTTAATTACGACCGATATTACATGTTTCCATCTGAACATCCGTCGTCGTTTAACAGACAATTACTATGAATATCGTTGAACATTTATCTATGAAACGTATTTTATAAAATAATCAAGCGTTAACCGTTTCGGTGTTTACTCATTCAAGATTTTGAGCGAAGCGAGAAACGTATTGATTTTACAACGAGGTTTATTTCTTTATTTTTTTTTTTTTATGCTTTGTACATAAATCTTACTGCGAAGTATCAAGTACAGCACTTTCTTTGAAAGGGAGTTTTCTAGAGTGGTACTTAAGGGAGGTTGTTTTTCGATTTTCTCAGGAATTTTCCCTATAAATGAGAAAATTGGAAAAAAAAGGGGAGCAAAAACCAGAAAATTTACGAAAATAATGCTCTTATTATTTTAAATTTTGTTTTTTTGTTGTAATTCAGTAAAAAATATTCGTAGAGACTTGAAATTTAGTCAGCAAAATTTTATTTGCCTTTTCTAGAAAAGGTACAATTTTTAACATAATTTTGCCTATTTTTGTATTATTCATTGACAATTTTGTAAGTATTTTACTGTAGGTACTCTGTAGATCAAATTTTTAGGCCAAACAGAAATTCTTGATATTATAACAGGAAGTTCAGTATAAGTGGTACGTTGTAGTTAAAATAAAATTTTAGTGAAATGTAGAATTTTTTTATTTTTATAAATTTCAATATCAAATTTTGACGAAAATCCGCTCAGAATCGTTTTTTGTTAGCAATAAATAATCACTGATACATAAAATTCATCTTTGTATCCTACGTCTCAACTTTTCACCCATAACAGTGGCCCACCCATCTTGCGAAGTAGATCCATCTTTTTATTCATTTATATAAACAGTGTAGATAATATTTAATATTTTTAAATCTGTTCAATATTTCTATTTCTAGAAAATGATAGCAAAAAATTGTGCTCTACATTTTAGAATATGATTGTGTATTAATGAAAATAAATGTAACGTCAATAAACCATACTTGTCGGTCTATTGACCAAAAATAATTTAACCGTTAATAAGTCCTAAGTTAATAATAAAATCGTTGTTTCTTCTTCTCCCCGCATAAACGCACTTGCAATTCGAACGACCACGCAGTAATTATCGAAAGCAATAAATAATGTATGATTTTATTTTGTGTACATCCCGTTTTCTCGTAGTCTGCAGACTGACTCTCACACGAGATAATAGTGTTTTAATTTTAAATTATCCAGCGGGCATCCGATTGTCGCATTGAAGTAGTGACGGGAAAAAACGCAGGCCGTACGCGTCAAAACTAGAACTTTGTGATGCAAGACTCGGAAAGTTTGTACACAATTTTAATAAAGGAATCGGATTTAATGAACTCTCGACGTCGATAAGATAGTTTTACAACAGTACAAAACCGAATCGTTTAAATGTTTATAATAAATAAACATACACTTACTTATCTACGTAGTACGCATGGGCGTAAAACATCTTTTTTTTTTTTTTTTAATATTACGGCGCAACGGTTATACAAAATAGCAACATACGTGTGTTGATTAGAATATTCAAAAATAAATATTATTATAATGTCAATTTTAGAGAGTGAGAACGATTTTGGTATCCTCTACAAATACGCTTTACGAATAATGTACGAAAAATACAAGTTCAACGCAGTCGATTCGAAGAGGAACGAAATATACGGGAAAAAAAGTCCAACGGCCCAATGCGTCATTTTAGCGAACGTTCAATACCTTGATACGTTTGGGATTTCAGAGCGGCGATAGAGGTTTCGAAAGTAGTGTCATTTTTTAAGCAACAGAACGTTAACGTTTTTTACTTTTGACATTGTCGCTATTAAACAAACCGAAATTCCGTTGACCGGTCGCACGCGTTCGGCTATTATATTTGATCGGGATAGCACGCGTAGCGCGCGCATTCCGAATTTACGCGGACTTTCGTTTAGATTCTCCGTCGAATTCTTCGCTCGCGCAAACGCGCCGCGGGCTAAGTACGGTCGCGTCGCGGCAAGGTCACCGGCGAACGGACACGCCGGGAAATCCGTTCGCGCCGAAATTCCCGCCGCAAAACGCGCGCGCGTGACGGTTAGGTCGCGGTCGGCTCGGCTCGGCGGCCTTACAGGGGTCAACAGGGGCGGCAATTTCGACGGGGCGGGAAGGGGTACGCGGGAAAAAAAAAACGGTCGGCATTAACGTACGGCCGCGACGGGTTTATGATGACGAAGACCGATGAAAGTGTGCAACGCCGCGGCCTGTCAAAACAATCGTCCGGAAGACGCTTTTAATAGTCGTCGCTCGGCCGTCGCGTCGGGGCTCCCCTCGCCGCCCGCTCGCACCGCGCCAATCGTTTCCCCTCCCCGCCGCGCTACACACGCGCGCCGCACAAAGTCACACGCACACACGCGCGCGCGCGCTCGTACGTTACGGTTTCCCGTGTCGGCCGCCCGCGCGGTTTCCGTGCGGACGGCGGACGCGGCGTGTAACGCGGGCCGGCGGTCGCGGCCGGCGGCCGAACAGAAACCGGTGCGGGGCACGGTGCGGGCGGCCGCGGACCGGCGGCAGTGTTCGCGGGAACCGGGCGTAGCGGCGGCGGGGAAACAATTAATTCGAACGCCTCCGCCCGAAGTTCCGCGGCGTTCGCCCGCACCGACTCGTCCGCCGTTTTTCACACACCACGCGCGCGCCGCCCTCCCGCTCTTTCACCGGACGGCGAAGCCGAATACAAATCACTCGCCCCGCTCCTCGTCGGCCGCGCTCCCCGCCGGTGCCGAACGTGTGCGAACGGACGCGCCCGCACGCACGGCGGTGCCGTACAATCGGAACCGCGCGCAAAAAAACGTTACGCGGACGACGTGAGTAATTCGCGAATGACGCGGTGCGCGTACGCGTTCGGACGCACGCGACCGGGCCGCGTGAAATTCGATTGTTTGCCGGGCGAGTCCGCGGTCTTCTCGAATCGTCTCGACGCCGAGTGAATCGTTCGTTTGCCCGAGTCGACGCCCCCGGTAACGCCGATTGGATTGGGTTAGGTCGGGCGCCGAGAGCTGATACAAAAAGAGTTGACGATACCGCGACGGGCCGCGTACCGATTACGTACGGGCCCGGGAAATCAGAAAGGGCGGCGTACACGAAATTTTCGGATTTATATCCGCGAGTAACGACGAACCGTTGCTAACGAAAAACGATTCGGAGCAAAGTTCGATTGTACGCGTTTCGAAATGCCGTAAACAGTTACGGTATTCGTCAAAACATGATTTTAAAACTTTTAGCTGCATTACGCTCGATTTTTTTTTTTTTTTTGACCACTGAGTACGATTGTTTTTTTTTTTTAACTTTCTGTCAAATTTTCAATCATTGTTTTCGTCTTTCGATCGCCATGCGCCGGTCATTTTTTCATATTCAGTTGTTTTACGTTTAGCGGACAAATGACAGGTGATGCTGACGCACATTTTATTCTGCTGGCTGCTTTCTACACTATCCACGTGAACTAGAAATTTGATTTTTTTCATACGAACATATGAAGTACATATTCGTAGGACTTACCTTACAGCGGTATTGTTTTATACCTACGTGGAAAAACAATTGGAACAGGCCTGATAAAAAGTGTCCAGTAGGTACGTGGAGAACGTGGCTCATTTTTAGCTGGCCGTAACGTAGTATAAATTGTTCAAATATAAACTGTATATTATATTATTATATAATACACTTATATGCTAATATTTGAGTTAAGAAAACTCTCTCTTTTGTTTTATTATTATTATTATTTTTTTTTATGTATTATAAATAATAAATTATGAAAGTTATGTAAGCCAATTTAGACTGGTTTTGGTCAAAATGTAATTTTTATCTCGGAAACTTTTTTTTTGTTTGTAAAAATACTTTTTACACTTTTTAACTTTTGACGAAAATCTTAAACATAACGGCCTTTCAAAACACGTATAACCGAACTTCGCTCAAAATCGTTTTTCGTTTGCAATGAGTAACCATTGCGTACAATAAATTCCCTTCTTTATACTGCCTTCTCAACTTCCCACCTACAACACGGGTGAGCCACTGTGACCATACCGTGAATTATAACCGTCTTTTTTGTTTTTTCTACTTTTTTACGGATAAAACAAGAAACGTATCTTTTTTTTTTCGGTCACGGATTACTTTTTTTCTTATCGGTTGTTGTCTGATAGTTTCGTCAGGCAAAGTGAAAAAGCAGTGAATTGTTGGTGAGCTACCAAGTTTGTAAAACATTGGTTTCCATAGAATATGGACAGTGTCTGCATTACCGTGTCTATTGTTCGAGACGGCCGAACGGCTACACTGGTCAAATATATTTCCCAAACGGCAAAATCAACATTACAATAACAGAGAACCGTGGCTCGGTTTTTTTTTTTATGTTTTATGCGCGGACCTTCATCCTTTACAATTATGTCGACAATAATCGTTATTGTTTTACGACATCATGCAACATTGCCGTCCGAACAGTAACAACAACGGAATGATGACATCGTCTTATAATATTAATGCAAGGCCAGTCGTCCGGGCGGGACGACCCGTTTATAACGACGTGCGCCGCAAACTATTTATACCGGAAATCCTGAAATTCGTAAACCGTACGTCATGTTTACGTCTTCAGATCTACGGTAATGTGTCTGCCGAATCGAGTCCGCCAGTTCAGTTGTTCTCCGACAGTGATACGTGCATAACTGATAGTACGCGGCAGGCGACATGGCGGTATGTGTGCAGAAGACATAGTACGGAAAACGAATAAATTAATGTGTGTATACATTTTTTTATACTGTTTTTTATTTTTTGTATAAAGTGCGTACAAAAAATACATTATATATATAATGTTATTGCAATTGTTAACCGTTATTGGTTTAAAATACACGCGTAGAAATTTTAAATAAAACGTGGTCATGTGTGTATGGCACTAATATATTCACCCTAGGAAATTCGCCTTATTTTCTGAATGTTTTATGCCGCAATAATTATCAAAGGTTAATGCGTATTAGTGTGCGAATTTATCTTTTATAATATAAGATAAATTATTATCATACAAATGTATATAATTTATATTAGATGTAAAATATAATATTTGATGACCGTTAATAGTATGAACTCGTTTGCCATTTACGTGTGTTTTCTGTAGTGAATCAAATATGAAATTATTTAAAAAAAAATAAATATGTTCGTATTTTTTTATAATAGTTGCGTGTGAATAAAATAACAACATCGTGAATGTTGTATATTTATGCAAAATATGGAAAACTGATAACTGATAATATGGTAATGTTATGATGAGATCGCAGCACTTTATTACTATGCGCATCTTAACACAGAAACCGTATACTTGTATTGTTATAGTAGTATAATCAATTTGATTTTTTTTTTTTTCAAGAAAAACTACACGCGTGTAATCCAGTTATATAAATGGCTGAAATATAATTTTTTCTTTAAGTAAAAAAATAAGCCGATTAATTATTTATTTAAATCGATATTAAAAAAAAAAAAAAAAAAAAAAACGAGAAAGAACTCACTAAAATAACAATAAGAGCATACGGTTTATGAAATATTGTTCGGACAATAATTAATTTTAATTAAACGTTAATTATTATAGTATGGTACGTATAATAATAATATATTGACTTGACCTCTACTATTACAATAATGGTAATTTCGTTTGAACAATTAATCATTTTTACAATTATTGTAATTCTGCAGTGTCGGAAAAGTGTCTTTAGAACGTATTCTTTGCTTCGTTTTTTTAGTAATTGAAAATTATTTTTTCAACATTATTAATAATTCTAAACAATTCCAGTTTCGGCATACAGGCACCTCAATAAATAATCGGGTGTTTCACGTATAATTCAATAGCCGAGCACGTCAATGAATGTTATTAATTCAATTGAGTTATTTTAACTGAAAAAAAATGTTTAATTAAAAGTTAATATAACAAATTTAGTTAACTTCATTAATATATGAATTAGGTTAAATAAAATTAAGTAATTTTGTAAACTATCTATATATAATTATTATCATAGTAAAAATGATTTAACCTACAGATTTAGTGATTAAAAAAAAATAAATATATAATGACTAGCATTAAAAGCAAACGGTTTAACCCCAGTTAACCCAGTTACGTCAAATTTTTCCTATTTTGTGACTTGATCCATACACATTATTTAGCAAAACAAAAAATTACATATAGTTTGTACAATGGTGAATAGGTCGCAAACTTAATTTTCATCAAAATAAAAATAAATTTACATAACACTTAAGGTGATATAATTTAAAACTAATTTGTTATAACTTGTCTTTAAAAAAAAAAAAATTAATCTAAGGCTAATTAAAAAGTTCATCAATAACTAAATATTTTAATGACTATCCCTCCAAAAAAAACGTTTTCTTTTTAAACATTTTATTCGATTCTGGCTGTACAATAGTTTAACACGATTTGTATTTCAGTAATTGATTAAACGTAATATATTCGTGGCGTCAATGGATATGAGAATATTTTTATAGAATGCGTGCTGCATTAATACAACGGAATTTAGTGCCTATGAATGGTGCACACGGCAACCATTACACGTTTAAATTTTTTAAATAAAATAAAAGATCCGTGATTTTCATCAATTGGTACAATAATTTATTTTTTTTTATACATTTGTTGCAAATTTATCTGTGTTTTTAATTTTTTAATTTGGACAATACCCAAAAAAAATAAAATTATACCTTTGAAGTACAAATTATTAAAATATTATAATTAAAATTTTACCTACCTTCACCTAATTTTTCTACCTTTTCAACTATCCATAGATAATTTTTTTTTTTTTTATGAAAATCTATGATCTTCGTAACAGATCTCATGCCATCAGTGTATAGTAGAATCATAAACTTATTTTACGTTTTTCAATGCGGGAATTTAACTTCTGGAAGCTATCTGATTTGATAATAAATTAAGTACTAAAGAAAAACTCGAGATTTATTGTCCCAAAAAAGCTATCTGTACATTGATGTGTCATTCAACTTTTGAAATTTGTTGACGATGGTGTCTGAAAATCCCAAAAATTGTGCAAAATATCAAATTAGAGGGTTTCCGGAGACAACAACTCTCACGGGGAATCTATTCGTCCGTTTAATGCAATAAATACCATATGTATATTCTTTAAAGCTTCACGTTCGTAAAACGGATTATAGGTTTTCGATTCCGCTCACCGACACCAGATCGTTTTTCAAATATGTATGGGTAAACGCCCTGTACATATATATATATTGAGCGTTATTCATCGCGTACAAAATATTTCAACGAACACTATTGAAAGGGCGTTACGGGAAGCTTTCAAAATCCCGACAGGGAAAATCCTAACACTAAAATCCTGTCAGTTATAATACAAATAGATAATATCAAGGAATTTTCGTACATATTTTCTTTGATATTACGTAGGTAGTTTCCGAGTTGGACCCTTTAATATGCAACAACCGGCACTATTGATATTATCAATAAAGAGCATCATTACTACTATTGTTTAAGGGACTAAATTTCGTAATCTCGTATCATTTACCGTTGTATTTGTGTAAGTCATAAATGATTATTGAAATGAGTACGGCTTAATACATACACTCAGCAACGCACAAGGGATTTTGACTATGTTGGGATTTCGGTGTAAGTATTTCACCTGGACTCTTTTGCCATAGAATGAATTGATTTATGATAAAATTTAAAAAGAACATTGTCTGTGCATATGTGTTTTAAATTCGAAAAGGAGTGAAGGAATTATATTAGTTTTACTATGATTCGTTCTTTTTTTACGTTTGTAAACAACTTTTCGAACAAAACACGTCCTTCGATCGAAAAATGACAAGAGAACTTTATTGTTGAATTATAGATCTATAGATAGCAAATATTTACAGCATGCCGCGGCGTTATCGATTTCATTATTTTTAATTTGTATGCGCTAGGTTTTTTACGCGAAATATTGCTCTAATAGAAAAACGACAAACTTTTTTTGTTGAATTTTAATCCAGTTGGCGAATGGGAAAGTCGTTTTTTAATTTTTTTTTTTTTTTTTTTTTAATCATTTATGAAAACAATTTAAAACACGTAGAAAGAACGGGAAAATTTACAAATAGTAATGCATTTATTATTTTAAATTTTGTTGTTATTCGATTAAAAATTTTCTTAGAGACGTAAAATTTTGATAAAATCTTTTATTTGCAATTTGTATACGAAATGATTTGGGTCACCTAGTTAAATTTCAATAAGTAATATAATCCGTGTTATTAATATTTATGTCAGTACATTATTTTTATACAGACCGATTTGTTAAACAAAAATGTACTCAGACACTATTTGTGTTGAACATATGTAAGTATATCTATAATACCTATTTACTATTATTTCGTTGTTTGTACAACTGCGCGCATATACAATATTGTTACATAACAAACGTAACAAAATATTTTTTTTTTTTCGAAGACTATGTACCTAATAAATACCATGAACCGAGTATCCTAACGCTCTTTTTATCTTCGGGGTAATAAAGAGTGATTTATTTTACCTATATTGTAAAAATTCCGGTAACAAAATATTATGTTACGATATTTGTTAAAGCTCCATAGATTATACTATATTATGTGATTATGTTAAAACTGCACGGATTATTTCGGTATCCATGACTTAACAATAAGTAAGGGGTATTGTGAAGTCATAAAAAACTCATTTTCAAAAAATAAAAAACACGAATATCCAATACCAGAGAGAATATCAATTAAAAAATGGATATACTGCCATTTTAATAAAATATAGAATAATAAATATCTTATTGATATATAAATACAAATATTTATTATATTGTGATAAATACAAGTGTCTTGTTCTTTGTTAATTAAAATAACTAACAATTACATTTTAATCACGCAAATTATAAAATATATGGAAAGTGCAGAGGCGAAAATTTTCAGGGAATCATAAAACGAAATTATTAAAAATTAATCTCATTTCACCTATTGACAACGGCGTTTATTACCACGTATACGAAAAAACAAATTGAAAATATCTACAATTAATAATCGTTCGGTCAATTTTAATTGTTGACGCCAAGGATGCCCGTAGTGGGGAAATGCCCCTTTGTGTCCTCGTTGATTTTTCAAATATAAATGTACTTTTATAACGCATATTAGCATACCATTTTACCATAACAATATAAAAATATTTCTAGAATGAAACGTTTTCTCCGGTTTGCACCGGTTGGGATTTTTTTTTTTTTTTCAGGCGTACTCGGCTGACGCCAATACCAGTAAGTATTATGATTATATAAAATCGAACCAATAAACAAATATTTAAAAACGAAATACATAGTTTTCAATATTTCACTACCATAATTTCGATTATTAATAGCGATATTCCGGAAGTTTCAGATCCGGACCAATGGATCCTTTATATCCAAGAACCCATTAATACAGACTTTCAAGAAAATCCAATAGCTGGATTTAGAAATGACAAGTAGAAATATACATATATGTAAACATAAATATATACTAAAAACAATGTATATACAATTATCGTTCGCATTATTTTGTATAGGATATATTTTGTTCCAAACAATATTATAATATTAATACATTTATTTCATGATATGAATCAATACGATTTGCATAGTATATGACACGCATAAATATATGATGCTATAATTTCTATCGTTTAGAAATAATTTCGCCCGATTATTGTTTCTGATATTGTATTGTTCTAAACATAGTATACCCACCTCCTACAATAAAGAATTGACAAGAATAGTACGGTTTATGTTGCGCGTTTTTACATTTGTTCACAGTTTTATGCAAAATTCTAATAAAAACGATAATTTTCAGTTTATATAGAGATTTAAAAATAAACATAGTATGTGGCCGAGATGTAAATGCTGACGAGACACGTCCACGAAAAAATCGTTTGTTATAATACAACGAAAAACGGGTTACGGATCGCATCTGGAAGTCGGCATTTCCGAGACCGTATCCATTTAATTTAAGGTGCTTTTTTTTACGCGGTTGACGTATTTTTATACTTTTTTTTTTTTATCATCGACTCCCGCGGGAGATGACATAGAAAAGCCGGAGACCTGACTGAAGAAAACTTTCGGATATTAATCTTTTTCCACTGCACGTACATTCGCTATATTCCTGGTGAATTTTCCGGCGATACCAACAAGTCTCCAGGGAAAAATTTTAAACAAATGACAGCTGCATAGTAACGACTACTACAACGATGACGGTAGTGACGATACGATGGCAAAATAGACAGGTTCTCAATGGACCAGTGATCATAATAAAAGTACGGGAATTTACAATTTGTGTTTCATTTTAAATGAAGTAAATATTTAAAATTATGTTAATTAGATGTTCTAACATATTTTTAAAACAACGCATTAAAATGTTGTTTTTTTTTTTTAATTCTGATCGAGTCGAGGAATTTATTGGTTTTACAATGTGTGTGTGTGTGTGTGTGTGTGTGTGTGTGCGCGCGCGCGTGTGCGTGTTTTTTTTTCCGGTTTAAAACTAAACTTTTCCCCAAAAATATTGTTCCTTTCATCAATACTGAGGGTGCCATCAGTGGAGGAAATCTTTATCTACAATAAAAAGTTAAAATATTATTGTTTTCTGAAATAATTCATGTTTTCCTCGTTATTTATACAACTATTGGCCCACCGTGCGTGGTCTTATAACTAGGATGCATATATTATACTGGCGTACACATCAAAGAGGAAGAAATTACCACTAAGAAGGTAAAAATGCCTGAGAGAGTGGCGAAAATGTAAACCCTGTATATAAAGTGTACGCAGTTTCGGATTTGATATAAGCTTTCGTGGTGGTTTTAGCAGCACGTGGTATACAACACTCGAGAGGGGAACTCCTTTGGTCGTTATTATATTACTATTTAATGCGTCTTTCACCCTATTCGGTACGCTCCAACTAATTTAGCTTGTCCCTTTCTGCTCGTCATTCGATCTGTTCACGGCGTACGTAATATAATATATTATTAAAATACCGTGTTCATTCATTACCACGCAACACACGATTGCCAATGCATTTTTTTGTGTACAAAGAGTATATTGTAGAGAATAGACTAGAGTTAATAAATAAGTTATAATTATGATCATTGGGATTTCTTACGATGAAAACGATTTAAATCATCGTATCACATCGCGTACCCGTTTGGCCCTTCAATGCGCTCATTTAACTCACAACCGTTATATTACTCTGATTTTCAAATAAAAGCTCCGTTTTAATTTTAATCATAATTTTAGGGCATATTGAATTATAAAATTTCTCGTGAAAATACTTATTAAAAATTGATTCTTTAGATTCAAAGCATAGCTTTTTTTTTTTACTTAGCCGGATCACACACGATATATAATTTCATAAAATTTCCAAATTCAAAATCTCCATTCTTGGAAAAATTCTAAATAGGCTACGAATATTTTAATATAAATTATATCAATTGAATTTGATTTAGTTTTGATTAATAACAGTTTTAAGTCTAGACCGGAATATTAGGGAAGGACATTTATTTATTACATTTATAATAATAATGGTGATGAATCGAGGTAGAAAAATAAAAAAAATGTGGTGTTTTAGATGGCTTTCAAAAGTGAACCCCCAGATATATACTGAAGATTTCGAATAAATTTAAATTTGGTGTTTTTGTTTCGTTCATTATCTTATAGAATCTGTAATATTTTTTAGAATTTTACTCGTAATTGGCCTTGTACTGCAAAACGTCATATTATGTATTACTCTTTGATTTCCAAATGGAAACTTTTTTTTTTTAAACAGAACGGTTTTTTAAAAATCATGTACAAATATGCATAATATTCTCTCTAGATACTCTCTACTTTACTTTCATTCTCTACATGTTATTGATATTTAGATAGCATTTCCCTACTTCTTTGGTCTAAATCTTAAACTGCTGTGCCTAATTCATCAAAAAAGTATAAGATGTTGGTAACTAGTAGAAAATCAATAATTTCAATTTAAATGTTAAAATAATAGTGAAACGTTGAAAAAAAAAATAATAATATGATACTATGATAATGATTAAAAACAGAGCAATAAACAAATTTAATTGTGTATAATAACATTACGATAATTTAAATTGAAAATAAAATTCGTACGAACCTCGATTTGCACAAAGCTGACCGTTACACTATACACTCTGTGTCTGGACGATTTCAAAATTGTTCATTCAATTGCATAGGCATTTTTAAAGCAGATACACTCTGTATACGGCGGTTTTAATCGACGTCATGTCGTTTCAAATACTAAAATATATATAATACGACTTATACTGCGCATTTAAACGTTAACGACTCCGTACAACTGAAATACGTCTTCGACGTCGACGCTGATATAGTACCTATTTATGTAAATAGACCATTTTTTTTATTATTATCATTCGTAAATCGATATAAGTGTAGCGTATTATGATTCTAAAGATTTTGTTTTTATTTCTTAAACGTTATTTATTATTTTCGTATATAACGCAGCCATGTTTTAGAGAAAACAGACAGATTCGTAAACGCGCTTTAAGTTTTCGTCGTTTAGTCTTACACACGTGATCGCACACACCGCAGTAAGTCATTAAATGCCAATCTTTATACATTATGCGACGTCGTCATCATCATGAGCATATTTGTATAATAGTGCGTCCAACGTCGGCAATATTTGGCCTAATAATATCCCTTTGCAATAAAACATCGTAAATAATATTTTCCTTAAAGAGATCTCACGAGTCGTGGGACTATTGCGCATATGACGGTAATAAAAACGACATTGATATTTTTTTTTTTTGATAACCTCTACTCTTGTAAAAGGGTGTAATAGAACTATATCATTATTTAATTTAATTTTCATAACAATATTTTCAATGACAATAATTGCTTCTCGACCATTTCCTTTTTTTCGGTTTTTTTTTTTTTTTTAACCATTGTCAAATCAAAATCATTAAATATTTAGGTATTTTCGGTGCAAATCACAACTAGGATAGTGTTTGTTTAGGGGAGAGAGAAATCCAATTTAGGTTTTAAATAGAAAAAGACTTCCTAGGAGTATGGGAATGGGTGCAGCCACTGTTATAGGTAATTTAATGTAACCTGTAACACAACGATAAATCATTGCTAACGAAAAATTGATTTTGAGCGGAGTTCAGTTGATAGTGATGCTTTGTCAACAATATATATGCCATAATATCGTAAAATAATTAAATAAGCATTTTATATTTTGTTTAATAATATATGGTTGATACATCAATTTTCCCGTTTTCTTCCTTTTTTATTTCGGTTCTTCACATTTGTTGAGAAAACTTCTTAGAAATTTGAAAAATGACTTTCTTAAAATACTTTCCCTCACCGGTTTCTTTTCAGAGAAGGTGCTACACTTAGAAATAGAAGCATGATCTCTCGTAGAAAGTTTTTTATAGAAAAAAAAAATAAATATCTTTGTACAACTATAAGCTTCTTCGCTCCACTCAGAATCTAGCGTGAATAAATAAACTGAATCACGCGATAAAATAGTAGAACACAAAAATCTCGCTTATGATAAAATCAGTGATTCCCTACCGCAGTAGTTCATGGAACTGTCATAAGTAGGCCTGGTCTTCAAAGATTTTTATAATTTTTTTTTATCTGCTTAAATAAACTTCCATCATTGTCATAGTCATCTCAATCATTGGGAATTGACTTACGTAATATTCTTCCGTATTATTTCAACAAAATTGTATGTGAGCTCAGTGTTCATAATAAAAAATAAACTAGAGGAATCGAATGGACGCAAGTGGGAACACGGTAGCTCTGATTAACATAATAGGTACATGTTCGAATAAATTTAAACCTTGTTAATGTTAGGTCGAAGTCAAACATCATAATATTAATTTATTATAAAAAAATAATATTAAAAATTATAATACATATAGTGAGCTAGTTAATAACAGGAAGTCTAGTTTCCAGCATACTCGTGATTTGTGTTGTTTACATATTATAAGCCAAAAGAAAATAAATATTTTTTCTTCAAATCAAGGTGATTTTCAGTGTTGTACCATTGATCTGAGCCAGTCTCGAAACGCCTTACAACTAATTAGGCCCCGATTTGCAGATTCCTATCGTCAATGTCATCGGTTCTGCAGCTATTATTTTTAGAATATATTTCATCGCACTGTTTGGGTTTGACGCTTGTAATTCGTATTTTATTTTTTAAATTTTTCCTCAAAAAAAATATTACCCACTAGTTTTCACGCGTAAAAACCATATGGATAGTATACATTGTATACGTATAGGACCGGATGTATAATATTTTATTGAATTCCCAAAGCCGTTGGGTAATACCGCGATATTTTAAAATAAAAGTTTTACATACAAAAAAGCGATATAATTCATTCACGGACGAAATATTATAAGAACAAAATATAATCATGAATATAAATAACGTTCGGGTCATATTTTTTTTTACTAGCATAATATAACGTTCGGTGAAAAAAAATAAATTTATACAATATAGTACCTCTTTCTATATACACACATTAATCTGCTGTTGTTTATGGAAATAAATACAACCGTTTAACGTGTTATGATTAGAATAAATATGAAAATTTCATGTTTCTGTTTCTTCGTTTCATTACGAAAATTGCTCGTAGTTTGACATGATTTACGCATTACAATATTATAATCCTCGTAGACATGTTAATGTTGTTCTATTCTTGTTGTATACGTTTGAATTACAACGTCAAAAAACGTAATCTAAAATGGCTAACTGCAACCCGATATAATACTTCTACTAAAAATTTGACGCTATCGTAACGAAAAAGATGTCATATGATCTACGGAGGTAAATATGTCTGAACTTTTTTGAAAAATCTATTTTATAAACGATTTTGTTAATATTACACACATTTTGTTTTCAAAAGTTTACCATAAAAAATATTACCATCGAAATATCATAATACTGATGTGTATTAGGTTTAGTGGGCAAACAAAAGCGATTTTTTACGTTATTGTAATAACGTAAAGGGGTTTTTTTTTTCAAATTTATGTATTTTTCTCCTGCACAACAGAACGAGTTTTTTTAATATAAAATAATGAAAACGCAGTACCGACGAAATTGCATTTCAAATTTAATAACCTATATCACATCCCAAAGTCACATACACAACGACGTGAACCTATTATGTATATATATATATACACAATACAGTGTGCGTATATTGTATTCTGAGATTTAAAAATATTGTAAACAATTTGGCACTACTATTATACTGCGATAAACAAATAAATGGACTGTTACTTTATACAGTATAATATATTAGCACACAATTTACTTGGTTTAATAAAAAATAACCTACTTGGTTTCAGTCCCGTATGCAAATTAGAATTCCGTGCTGTTATAAACCATCACGGCTGTGCGATGTTATCGTTGTAGAATTTATAGTTAAGTTTTTCGAGTAAATCGTATTGCTACATGTTATGCTATTTTTTCGGATAACCAGCAATTAGTAATGAATTACCATGGTTTGTGCAATTTCTAGATACGCTTTATCACCGCATGCATTTTTATACACTCAGTCTTAGAAGATAAGTTTTGATAACCATACAGTCTACAAAGTTTGTCCATTCCAAGAGACAGTTTTAGTTCAAATTTTACTTAAGATTACTGCGCGTTATACTCATTCAAGGAATACAATAAATACAAACACACTAGTGTGTTTTTAATAGTCGCAAGATATTCTCAAACCAGTATGACCATCAGCGCTTAGTCAGTAAATCGTAAACTAAATCTGCCTTTATAGACGGAGATCGTTGGTTAAATGACAGTCAGGTGAGATTCATCAGACCGTGTAGTTTCTATATCGAACTTTTAAACATAAATTAAAGATTGTTTCATTACACGTGTCGTCGTTACAAAGACATTTTTACGTTTTTCAAATTGTTTTGTTTAGGTTTTAAAATTACAGTAGGCTAGGTACTACATGTTAATCACATGTTAAACAAGGGAATTATTAATTATTGTTGGTTCATGATAGATATTTTAAATTATTACTCAACCCCGTGATCTTTTCTTCCAGATATCCGTATCAATTATACAAATATATACGAGTAATTAATGCGAACATTTTATACACAGATGAGATCAATTTTTGGCGATAATACGGCCATGACGACTATCGTTCGCTTTTCATCCGATCGGAATTTATTATTATTATCGTGCCAGACACTTATTTCGCCGAACGCCTCTCTGGATTATTATTACACCGTGTTAGGTTAATAAAAGGCCAAGATTTATGCTCCTCAACCAAATAACGAATTTTCCAGTTTTTTGATTTATGTAAATACCATGTATTTGGTCCCGAAGAAAAAGGGCTAAAGTCAATTTTTGGCATTTAATGTATGTTTTTTAATAAATACGTATATGGAATTGTATCTCATTTAACTAACTTCTCCTTCTATCTTTAAATTTTAGTCTTAGTAGCATAATTATATATTTGCATATTATATTGAAAATTCAAATAATTTAAGTGTTTTATTTTTTTTTTTTAACGAAAAACTATAAGGCATATCTACTAAAAAAACTAAATATAGACAAAACCATTTAAAACGGCCAAAATTATTTCAACTCGAATTATTCTCTATCATTTATTATCATATTATTAAAAACTGTAGAAAAAACAGAAAAATGAACGGCAATAAAATATTTGTCATTATTTTCGATTTTGTTTTCTTACTGTAATTGTGTTAAAAATAATCTTAAGAGATTGAAATATTCGATCAAAATCATAGAAAAATCACAGTAATTTAAAACATGTTCCATCAGTAATGATTTATCGTTGCACACAGATGTATATTAAATAACATTATGTATCCTACCATCCCAACTTCCCCGCTGCAACATTGGTACACCCGTTTGTAATAACACTGATGCGTAAGCAATAATAGTATCTGCTATTTTTTTTTATCAACATTCTGAAAACAAATATCATAACTATTTTAGCAGAACGGTTTTTAAATATTATTAATTGTTCGTTTACATTACAAATACATCAATGACGTGACAATAATAAAATGTTTTGAACCATAACCCTATAAATTAACTCACCACTTACGATATCATTTCGTAGAATATTGTATTTTAACAATATAAAACACTTACATTCCTCCCCTCCATTTAAAAAAGTGAATGAGAATGAGTCTGTATACTGCAGAGTACAGAAATAAACAATGTGCAATATTCAAAAAAAAAATTCCATAGCCTATATACCTACGGTTTAGAAGTATGTCTTTTTTTTTTGAACAAAAAAAACTTAAAAAATTGGGTTAACTTAAAATTAATTAATTAATTAATTAACATTTTAAAACCACACAACGTGTAAGTTGTGTGATTTTACGATTGAAGTAAAAGACAATTTTCTTAACATAAACCAAACTAAAACAAAAAACTTAGAAAATATATGTATAATCTTTAAACAGCTTAAAATTCATTGTATTGGAAACTTTAACACCATCTAGGAATGACTAGTATAAAAGTTTAGTGAAAATTTCAAATATTATTATTTCTAACTGAGTTACAAGAAAAACAAAAATAATTAAACCGTTTAATCCGATGATTTTTTCCGGCTTTTCCTAACCATGAAGAATGGTACAAGTAAAATTTTTAAACGAATTATCATTGCACGGACTAGGTAAAATTACCTCTCAAAAAACAAGCTACACTTGAAAATTAGAACAGAGTTTCTAGAAAAAAAATAATTTACAGACGAACAAAAAAAAAAAAAAACTACAATCCATTGTAAAACTTCCTTGTACACTCAGAATCTAAAAAATATCGAGCGATTTTGCTAAAAAAAAAACTTGTTATATTCGATATACGTATAGACAGTTCAATAATCTCTTGGTATAAAACAAAAAATTTAAATATATACGATGAATGGACTTTTTTTCCGAATTTTCATTGATAACGCGCGCGTTGTGTTAATATCTTTAAATTTAATTTATTAATAAAATACATTGTTTTCGCGTATTTTCGACTTGGCTAATAAACACTAATAATATTCATGTTGTCATTCGTGAAATATTATTCCGTCTCGTTATCGTCGTCATCGTTGATAATAAAGTCACATACCTACCGTATATTTTATATAATTAATTTATTCCGCGCCCGTTTCCGTATAATACACTACAATACCTTCGTCTTTGTTTTAATTTTCTTTGACGATTTAATAAAAAAAGACAAAAATACTAAAAAAAAAACCTGAAACCTTTAGTTACTACGACTTGCGGGTGCCTCGTCTGCTCTCTGATTGCCCGAAATCGACCGTTACCGCTGCCTCACTCTTTGTAAAATAAATATTGTATGTTGTTTTAAATTTAATATACTCGGCTTTTTTTGACACAGAAGTACAAAGAAAAAAAATTATATTCCGAGTTATCTAGGTAGGTAACTCGGAATAATATTTTTCATTTTTACATTTCAAAATCATATACTTGTATGGTTTTAAAGTGTATTTTGTTCGACGATTCACTTCCATTGCGAAAAACGTAAAAAAAACTTATGCAAACAAATTAATCGGAAAATATCTTTAACGCCATTGCTACAGCCGAGAACGACGCGTAATCTCGCAGCGTAGTACAAATAATAATACTGCCTATATACACAATTGTACGCAGTTGTTTTTTTTTTTTTTTTTTAAATAAAATCGTTTCGTTGGCCGATTAAAAGTTATTTTGCGTTTTAACGGGTGAATATTATATCGTGACGCGAAATAATTTGAATAAAAAAAGAGGGCGGTGGGTGGAAAAGAAAAAATTAAAAGATTTTTTTGATATTTCCAGCACAATAATTCTATGATGACCATGCAGATATAACGACGGTATAAAAACCTCGCGAAAAGCTATATAATATAGGCTAGTTCACTTTTATCACGAAGAACTGTTGTACAGTTTATTTCGGTTTATTCGATACTTTCCCAACCAATCACCATAGAACATTTCGAATTGCATACTATTTCGCTAGAATTGCATAGGCACCTATGTTCCGGCCAAACGTCTCACGAATCGACGTATTATGTTTCCTGGACATCAAACCATATTTTACGTATTTAACGTACGTATAAAAGTAGTCGGACATATTGTTCAAATTATGTGTAATATTTGTGTGTAACTCTTCTTTATTGCGCGGATTAACGTGATTTTAAAAATTATATCGCCTCACCTCTCCCCTCCCAGAACGAATCACTATCATGCCTTTGTCACGGTGTGCGTTATATGGTTTGCAAAGCCGGTGTGCTTTACCGAAATCACCCTGTAGAGTGTAAGTATACCGGGTAGCTATATAATAACACTCGTATAATATAAATGTAAATACAGGTAGCACGTTTGAGACGTTACGCGAACAACGCGGCGCACAAAAGACTATCGGGGCGCGTAAGTGTAAAACAAAAACGAAATTTGCAATAATAATAATAATAATAATAATAATACAAAAAACGAGAAAAAAAAAAGAAAAAAGAAAAAATACTAACTCCCGTTTATTCGCGACGGCGGCGGCGGCGTGCGCTTGACGTGTATTGATGACCTTGTTCGTCGTCGCATTTTATCGATATTGAAAAAAAAAAAAATACATATATATTTCGCGTGCGTATTGTATAATAATATATAAATATAATACGAGTATACAGGGTGTGTATGTGTGTGTACGTATGGATGCGTGTGTTTGCGTGTGTGTCTCTGTGTGTGTGTGCGCGCGCGCGTGTAGGGAGACTGAGAAAGGTCGGCCGCTCGGCGTATACACTGCAATGACACTTGATTAATAAAACACACATGAACAAAAAATAAAAAAAAAAAAATACTACTTCGGATTAAGTATATAAATATATTACAATGTATATATATGTGTGTGCCGGTTTTTTTTTTTTTTTGTTTTTGACGACACTTAATCGTTAATTTCGCGGCGGGATTGAAACGTCACAAAAGACCCGTTGCCGGCGCATCGTTCATCGGTTCGAAACAAATTAACGACGCGTCTGTGACGAGGGTGTGCGGCAGCGGCGCCATTAGCGAACTCGAATATTTCGATCGGCCGGCCGCCGCGAGTGCCCGTCGCTCGCCGACGTTTCGCCAGCGTGCAAAACGCCTTTTCGGTGTACCGGCGACCGTTTCGTGTCCGCGTTGCGACTATAGCGATGTCGGCGTTTTAGAAAATTACCGGAATATATGTCGAAAAATTTATCGTTATTTTTTGTTTTTTTTTTTTTTTTTTTTTTTTTGTTTTTTCATACACATATTATATTATAAACAGGCCTCGATCGCCCGACTGGTCGGTGACGAAAAAACGCGACTGAAGAGAATTTCAGATGGAAATTACTGTTTTACAACAGTCTGTGCGGTTTTTGTCTGACCCAACAGTGACAATAGTCACAAATTATAATATCAAGCAGCATACACGGCGCACCATTTAATCACATAAGATGCCGAGAGAATCAAATAGTTCCGCGAACAGAGTTTTTTTCGAATTCCGTGTCACAGTAAAATCTACCGAGAAATACTTATTTTATCGACAAACTTTTCGGAACCATATCGGAATCTTTCTAACATGTTACATTGTTTTTATTTTATTGTTTTTTGGCGGTTGCGGGCGACGGTGAAACGATTACCTACTTTTGATTTTAAAATGATAACCTAAAGTAAAAATTCTAAAAATAGACGGAGTATTAGTTTAGATAAATTTTGGTGTTGACTCTTTTTGATTTCCATCAACCCCGTGACAAGATTTTCACCTTCCACTATCCATTTTTATGTTACGCTAGGAGAAGAGTAATGAAGCGCTACTATTAAAAGGCCTCATACCATACGGTCACAAAAAATCTTTACATTGTATACAATTTACTAGGGTTTTTCTTTTTTGAAAACCAATACTTTGGATACCGTTTTTATAAAATGCACTTTTAAATAACGGTAACGGTATCAAAGTGTTAATTATTTTTCTGGACTTAGCTAAAGCTTTTGATACAGTTCATCACAAAATTTGACCAAATTTTGATGTTAATAATTTGAGTCTTAATTGGTTTCGTAGTTATTTACTAAGTAGGAAGCGAACAATTAGAATTATAGACTCTTTTAGTCAAGAAAGTACTATTGAGTTCGGTGTCTTTCAAGATAGCCTGCTGGGCTCAATTTTATTTTTATTGTACATTAATCAGGTGTGTAATCTTAATTTTGATGGATCGATAGTCACATATGCTGATGAAACGTGTTTATTATTTTCTGACATTTCTTGGGAAAGAGTTCATAATAAAGCCACAGTGGATTTAGACAAAGTTTATAAATGATAACTGATAGACATTTATCTCTAAATAACAAAAAAACAAACTATATGAATTTTTCTATACATGAAGCATCTACAAATTTTAACACTATGATTTCACATAACTGTAGTGATGGCATCATTTTTAATTAACTCAATTGTACATCTATCAGTGACAATGATTCGTTATCTTGTTTATTATCATTGATAATCATTTAAGATGGAACTTAATACACATAATTTAGTAGGTAAATTACGATCTTCAGCTTATAAATTTATATTGCTAAAAAATTTGATTCCTAAACAGACAATGCTTATAGTTTACTTTGCTCTATATCAGTCAATTTTTCAATATGGATTATTAGTATGAAGTGATTTGAAATTTAGTGTACTAAATAAGCGTCAAACTAATCAAAATAATATTGTTAAAATCTGCCTAAATAAACGTACTCGAGTAAGTTCAACAAATAAAAATTTTAATGAACTAAGTGAATTGCCAATTAAATCCCTTTATAAAAAAGTTGCTGACATGTTTGTATTTAATCATTTTACCAAAGGCAATTACAGTAATTCATTTGATAAAAAAATAAAAATTATATCGTATGATATTCCTGTTAAATACGCGAAAAACTCTTTCAGTCAATTTTTTGTGGATTATCTAGGCCCTACGTATTTTAACTCAATGCATATTAAGTATAAAAAAACATCCATGTTCCACAAAATAATACTAAAAATATCTTATATAAATGGTCATTTTTAGATTTGAGCTAAATTGTTTTATTTTTAAATTGGTAATCACGTGTTTGAGTTATTTTTATTAGTATTTGCTTGTTTTAATTTATTTATCTTAGTTTTAATCAATAATATTTATTCTTATATTTTTTTATTTTTGAATGTACCTATCTGTAGGTTTTTCTTATTCATTTGTTTTAAATTAATCAATATTGAATCACTCTCTATCTCAATCAAAAGCTTGCTTAACAGAGATAGATATTCATTAGTTATCGTATAAACAATTTACTATGTAAATTTTTAATGATGATTAAGAAAAAATAAAAAAAAAAATCAAGAGAAATTTCCAATTCGTATATTTTCTCCGAGACTAGTTTTTACGTAAAATCTAGCAAAGCTTTGTGCGATTAATACGAATATATTTTTCTAGATTTTCAGCTTTATTTTTATTTTTTTTTTTTTTTTGCGGAAAGTTTCATATTTTGTGATACCTTCTTGTAACTCCCCATTGTACTGGCGATAGAACCAATGAAAACTGAATTATCTAATCCGTGTATTATTGAATGCAAAATAAAAAAAAAAAATCTGACACATTTGTTGGTAAAACATAATGATATTAACGCGATTATTTTTGTCTCGTGGAGTTTTATCTGATGTTCCGTTGGATTATAAAACCGAATCGAACGGCGGCGAAGGCGATGAAATATCCCAACGAGAATCGACGGCTGGTTATTAAAAAGTTACAATTATTAAATTGTCGTCCGACGTCGAACAAAAATATACGCTCCTCGATGCCGGACGTTAAACTTTTCTGGTAAGAGACGATAATTAATTTTATTTTTCTCCGGGGCCAGTCGTTCTTGGCCGAACATATTATTCGCTGTCGTTGACAACGATCTCTATGGTTTTGCATTTCCGTAGTTATGGTATAAATAAAAATCTAATAACACACTATCCGGCGACGAAAATTTGCCGAGTGTTCTGCGCGTACACTGCACCCGCCTACTCAGCGGTTAATGACCGAAACGCCGTCATTTCTTTTTCTGTAACGAGTCGACGACGGAAATGAAATCCTCGCGATAACATATTATAAATGTACACATAACAACGAGGAGATTAAAGAAAAACCAAAAAAAATAAAAATACACAAATTTAACGTAAACCATTCGTGAAAAAAAGAACAGCTACGTTACGATCACATTTTTTTTTTTTTTTTTTCGATCACTGATCAAACCTTCTAACGAACCTCATATTGCATTTCCAAGGATTTTCGATCCCCGCCAAAATAATTTGTCCCCGTCTCGAAAAGGCCAATAGCACTAGCATTGCACTAGGAAAATTGCAGGTCTTTAAATTGCCGTGAATTCGTCGAGTTTTCCCGTGCCCGCGTGTTTTTACCCAATTATTAGGAAAACTGCATGGAAAATCGAAAAGGGACTCGCTCGCCGCGCGGACCAAGTACAATTTGCTTTCGGCGAAAACACTGCGCTCGACGATTAGGAACGCGACGTTCCCGGTAGAAAATCCGCGTTCGCACACGCGCACACACACGCGCCCGGAATCTTAAACAATTCGTCGGCGCGTACATCGTTTTGTTATTTTTGCGTCTCGTTTCGCTCGCGGCGTACCGAGGGGCCGGCGACGACGGCCCCGCGCGTTATTACGAAAATAATAATAACCGCAGTAATAATACCGCGAAACAAATCGCACGAAAACGCGAATCCGCCGTGAGTAAGTGTAAGTTGTCGCTGTCGTTATCCCGCCGTTTCCGCCGTCTCCAACGCGCCCTCTCGCCGTGTGTCACCGTAATAAACACAGCGAATAATACCGCGTAACGCGTGGTCGTACGGGCGACTGCGACGATCCTTCGCGTGCTCGCGTTATCCGGCTAAATTGGTTTCCGCCCGTCACGTATAAACAACGTGAGATCGCTGATTACGCGTGTGTACGACGGTAATAATAATAATAACGACACCTACGTTACGATCTTGTGAACGCGCGTCCGGGCGTACGACCGGAGGAACGGTTCTCGACGAGCCCCGAAAAAACGGCGAAGGGCCGAACGTTTTTTCCATGCGTACATGTTATTCCGGTACACGTATTACTCTTTCCTCCCCCCCTCCCCCATCTCCTTACTCGAATATTATGCACTCGAACGATTTATACAGTCATTAATCATCATGTATGCTGTGCATACAATTATCAAGTATATAAAGTCGCGTTAAAAAAATAAAAAATAAACAAAAACAATACATTAGCAGCAGAGCACCGTCAATTGAGTTCAATATACTCCTAGCTGACTTGTTGCTATTATAGTAATATATATTTTTTTTTTTTTTTTTTTAGATTATGAGTACAATGAAGTATGTATTGGTTTTACAAAGATGTTAATTATCGTATTATTATTTTTTTTTCAGACGGTGTACGAAAATTCTACCAGACAACCTGCTCCGATATATAAGTGCGGCACCATTTCCGAATGAAAATATTGTCGTGATGGTATTTTTTTGTCATTTAGATCATTTTTTGATTTTTTTTTTTTTTTTTAGCGGTTTTCATAATATCTGGGATATAAACCAGGAAAAAACGTAAAGAAAAACAAGAAAAGTTATGAAAATAATTTTAAATTAAATTTACAATGAATTGTAAATTAGTTAAAAATATTCATTGATTTTTATAATTTTAACAGAAAATTATATTTTGCCTTTTCTAGACATGGCAACATTTTCAAAACACTTGAGCCATTTTTAAGCGTTTAATAAAAAAATTTCAAATAATTTTGTTGAAATTCAGTTAAAAATATTCCTATGGACTTTGTGAACTTGAAATATATACAGAAAATGTACATGGATTTTCTAGACGTGATCAAATTAAAAGATATCTAAGCTATTTTTGAGCTATTTATAGACATTTTAATTTGCGAGTCTTGTGCCTAATTTTTATTCGGTAGGAATTTTGTGATACAATTGTTAGACCTAACAGAAATACTGAAAATATTACAGGAGATTCCTTAAATGTCGTACTTTGTGGTCAAAAAAAAAAAAGCTTAATGTTGTATTTTTTTTATAAATGAATTCTATTGCCAAATTTTTATGAAAATCGTATGAGTAAAAAATAATGTAACATTATGATGCAATTTTTTGACTTTCCCAGGAGTTTTCCCAATAATTGGGAAAAATCGGAAAATGAACGAAATTTAGGTTTAAATAAAAAAATATTACGGCCTTTTTTCCCTTGAACAACTTTTTTTTCAGCGATTTTGTTCCTAGAAGCTCATTCTGTCCTCATCTTCTTGGTGGACTCACTTTGACAAAAAAACAAAAATATTTAGCCCTAAAGAAGATTATGTCACACGTCCGGCATAAAGATTACAAGGAATGTGAATGATATTTTGAACCGAAATTAAAATAAATTAATAAGTAGTATTTATTAATGAACTATCCTATCATTTTTTTAAAAAACAATAATAAGTGTATTACGATCCCGTATTCATCCCGTTTTTATATCCCATAATTTTTGAGCAATACCTTTTAGTATCTCGAACGTAATGTTTTTTGGAATTTTCCGTCATGTACGTGTATCGAATCCGGTGCTATATTATTTACGTGCACTTAGTGGTTTTTTTTTTGTTTTCGATAAAAATAACGCGATGTATAATTTTATGTCTTTCGACCAAAAAAATATTACACTTGTTAACAGTAAATTTTCAGCAATACATTTTTCGATATCTAACCCTTATACAAATATGTACAAAAAAATTATTTCCTCAAATTAAACAAATATTAAATTAAATTTAGATTATGTCATTAAATAAAATAAAATATAAAACATTATAATTAGGTGTGCACATAAAAAATGAAATTGAAAGTTCGGCAACAATTTTTTTGATATTATTTTTAAACGTATTGCAAGTAAAAGTTAATAGCGTATTACGCAGTAATATATTCGTGTAACAAACATAATAGTTTACCTTATATTTATTACCTAAATAATCTACAAAATAATAATAATGAAATTTTGATTCTATATTTAAATCGAAACGTTTTTCTTGAAAACGTCAATAATAAATTCGAACCAAAATTATTTGTTGAATTTATCCCGAAACACCAACTATTTCACTGTATTGTGTCTGTATTTATGTACATATACTAATATATACATTTTTTTTCTCTCACTTATTGGACATTTTTAGTGGCTCTCTGATATCAAATTATAAAATGACCTCAATCTCGGGAATAAGAATTATTTTATGCGTAGATGGATCGATGCGATACAAATAACGGTGGAGGAGGGTGTTTTTTTGTTTAGCCTTGTACGGCACTTCGTTAAATATAGTAAAATAGTGCATGGATGTGCCTTTTGAGTGTTGCAACTTTCAAACCTATCCACAACCATTCGTATTTCTCATATGTTTGTCGTTTAATAGTTATACAGACAAAAATGAAATAAAACGATGCAGACAACCATACAAAAATGTAGATCAATTATAAATAATGAAACTCTGGCGATAACGAAGTCCCGGTGCTCACGGGTATGTTATTAATGATCAAGATTATTATCTACGCCACGTTCATTTTACATAGACGTGCCTATGCACATATTCAGATACGGATCCAAGGGCTGAAGGGTTTCAGCTTGAGTACAGAATTCAAATGGAACTTTATTTAAATAAATTTAAATGGACCAAAACGGGTATAACAGAATCAAAAACAGTTATAGACACACTGATGTTATGTGATCCATTTACCCAAGCATAAATGGTCTACTACGCATTTTTGCAACCGCTAATGCAGAAAGATATATGTCTTCCGTAAGATGTCTTCAAAATTGTAGACAATATCCAAATATACACTAAAGGGTTTGAAAATTCTCAATATAGATACCTAAACATAAACTTGTTATTGATATGAATGATTATCGATTTTCTGGACATAAACTTAAACGAATGCAAATGAAAGACTAAGCAAAGACACAATATGTTGTATGAATTATCTTAATTATTTCAAATTTTGATTTGTTTGTTTGTTTGAAAAACAAAAAATAAATAAGAAGAAAAAGAAGTACCGCATATTCGAATATTTACGTTTTAAGTTTTTTGTTTTTAAAAAAAAAAAAAAAAACGAGACATTTTCGATGTACGACTTGTACGTTACTATCAAAAGTATTTTTATATTTAACTTATACAGTATATCACATAAAAATAATACCGTTCTTAAATAGGCAGGGGTAGGATTGTTTGAGGAACGATTTCAGGGGAATTATTATACGCACGTCGAAGGCGACGTTCAGTCGCAAACTGCGATTCTTCCGCGACTACAATATTATTGTCGTCGACCAACCCGTTAAGATACAAACAGATACACCTATACTATAGTTTTACTTTTGCCATATAGCCATATACTTTTTTTACGTCTCGAGGTTTTTTTTTTTTTACTATAGAAGATTGCCACTCGCGTATAAATCGACCGACCGGATTTCGGGTTTCGTTCAAACGACGACGTACAAAGCTCGGCGTATTCGGCATAAAACCGCCGAGTACCTTCAGTATATAGAATAATATCGCAAACTCGAGACGCGTCTATTAAGCGGACGATAAAAGCTTCTGTTTTTCACAGGCAACCGTATATATTCGGGTATATAATAATAATAATACACACGCGGCTTAGCCGAAGCCTTATTATTTTCAGAGGTTATTTATTTTATTTTTTTTTTCAGAGCCGACTTTTGTGTATACGACAATAATATAAAACGAAAAACAAAAATGTCTAAAACAAAAACGTGTTCACGCGGTACTTGGAATTGAACGAATATAATATACAGGGTGTCCCACAGAGATTTGACAAATGCAATAACTAGACTTGGGTAAAATGCTTTTTAAAGATATTCAGAATAAATTTAGGAATACATACGACCATAGTGTTTTTAAAATACACATTGCAACGATTTTAAAAAAAAAAAAAAGTAAGTTTCCGTTTGAATAACTTAGTTAAACTATATATATTGTATGATAATTAGTAAGGTTACGTAAATATGATTATGTATTATATTTCAACTACCGAGAATTTCAAATGTGTTTTGAAAAAATCCAGTTTCACCAGGTGAAAACTAAAGCACCTCTTTATGTAATAAAGCGTAAAAAATTCGGAGCATCTTTACTAACTTACTCTGAGAAAATCATCTCAAAATTAAGCATAACCAAACACTCTAAAATTAGATAAAGAAAAAATTATATTTTTTAAGTAATTTTCAAAACTATTCGGAATACAATAATTCTTTATTATTTATCTGGCGATGAATTGCGACACATTATTTTTGGATTCGAAGTGTAGCGAGCGGTCTATTGGTTATACTACGATGTGTAGTTTTTTCCACTAATTGCTGGTGAATAAATCTTCTATAAGAAATCTTACTCCAGAGTATAAATTTGAAGTGTTTGATTCCTTTTGAAAATTGTATTAATTGCCACCAACAAATAATAACAATAAACTCACTAACTTTACTATGAAAAAAATGTGTATATTTTCGTAAACTTTAAATGATTTTAGAAAATTAATTACTCATCATTTGTAAACATTTATAACACCACATTTTTGTTTTATAAGAAACTTATCATAGTACTCTATTAAAATGGACATTCCGCTTAGATATGAAAATATTTTGGTAATGAGATAAATTCCCATGATAATAAACTACATTGGAATAATAAAAAAAACCTAAAAGAATCATTTACTTAAACATAAAAAAAAAATTGAACCATAATTTTATGTTCAATCAGATCGCTGTAAACCATTCAAGCCTTTTATCTGTTAACACAACTTCCTTCTATGTCTTTATTTCCAATACATTCGTTCCAATCATTCAATGTTTCGCATTTTTTCCTTGTCTTTTTTCATTCCATCCAACCAACGCTTTCTGGGTTCCTTTCTCGGCTTTTTATTCGTTGGTAACTATTCTCTATAACTGTTCTGATCCAATCTTCTTTTTGCTTACATGTCCAAACTATATATTTGTTATGCACGGACATTTTGTTATTTCGCGTAGTTTCGCATTATACTTCCTACTCTATTTCCCCTTTTTAAAATCGAAAACCACACTTTGTATTTATTGATCTCAATTTTTTTATATTTAAATACGATTGATCTGTTTTCAAATTCGTTTTAATGATCGGATTATTACCATGATGTGTACAATTTTCACTTTTCCCTGAATTCGATAAAATTTTGTTCCTTAATTATTTTAATATTATAATATTAAACAAAAGTACATATTTGTATTTTATTTTTCCGTGTGCCTTTTAACCAAATTTGTTCGGTTTTCGATTTCTAACTATTAACGAGAAAATCGTTTTTTTGTAATAGTAACCTCATCGCTATCTTAACAGATCGGAAAATTTTCCGTCGCCCATCGGCACAAGCGTCTGCAGGAAATCACGTCACAAAAAGTAAAAAAAAAAATTTAATTCTAATCATTTTCTGGTATTTACGAAGTATTTTACATTTGGTGACCATATTTCGGTCGGAATTTAATCTTTCCTCCGACCCTTCGTTTGGATTATTCATTCCTAATAATATAATATATATTAATGTACCATTATAAACGTGCGTTGGACTTTTGATGGTTGAAACAAATGACCAGATAACAAATTATAATTACTGCGATGCGTTATCGTTAAATTACACAAATCGTTTAACTATACTGATAAACTATTGCCGCGATTTCAGGCCGAGAGTCGTCACCGGGATAGGATTAAAGGAAACGGCAAATGATATGTAATACGAATGACTTTCTTGGCATATGCGTTGACGTTACAAACGGTGATCCGCAATCGGCTTTTGTGATTGCCCTGGCGCGCCGGTGTGATGTTTAGTAACACGCGATAATAATTAATATATATTTCGATAAACAAAAAAAAAAATCTGACAAAAAAAAGTACCTTACAAAAATAAAAAAACGGCCATAGGGTCCGAAGAAAATAATTCCTAACACAGGGGGAAAATTACACAAATTTCTTCATTGTTTAAAAAGTATTTATCAAACAGTTTAAAACCGCTCCGCAACTTAAAAATATCCCGTAAAACGTGGATTTCTCAGTAGTAAAAATAATTCTATTCAAAAATTGCTTTCTAAACTATCTTGTTTACTATCACTATATTTACTACTTCTCTTAGAAAATAATGAAAATAGTAAACTTTTAGATATAATAATTTTTATTGAAACTTGGCATGACGTAAGTTGTTGTAATATATCAATCCGTGATTATAATACTTATTTTACAAAAACTAAAAGAAATCAAAACGACGGAATAATTTTTCCATGTTTAAAAAAAAAAGGTTTATATACATTTTTTTGAATTTGATTATAAAGAAGCAAATGTTATTAAGTTAAAAATAAATATTTCGAATAATCCAATAACGTTAATTTGTATACATATTGATCGCCATCAAATGATATCCAGGAATTTTTAACCATATTAAATAATATTTAAAAAAATAATAACAATAAAATATATAAAATATAATAATAAAATAATGATCAGATTAAAAAAATGTAATGATTTTATGACATTATTATGAGATGTAAATATAAATATATGGGGAATAAACTCGATTGACAATAACTCTTTAGATATGCTGTCATTATATGGTTTTAAATCGTTTACAAATGTGTACACTAGATCACCTAATAATTCGAAACACTCTTGTATAGATCATAAATTTGTAAAAAAAATTAATTTAATAAATAAATTTGAAGCTGGGATTATACAGGCAAATATCACTGATCATTTTTTAACAATTTGAGCAATAACATTAAATGTAAAATTAAAATCTAATAATAAAAATACAATTGAAATCATGAATTATGAAAAGGTGAAAACTAAATTAGAATCTGAACTATTGGTAGATTTGTATCATTATAATGACATACATAAAAGTTGTGATATGTTTTATGATTAAATAAATAATGCTCGACAACTACGACCAAGACCATAAGCTCTAAATATAAACGTGTTAAAGAATGGATGACTATGCTCCTATAGATTACTATGCTCAGGATGTAAAAAACAATAACTCTCAATGAAAATTAAAAAACACCCAAACAACACAACTTTAATGTCATATTATACTAAATATAAAAAAAAAAAATTCTAAAATATTAAGACTTGTAAAAATAAACTTTAGAAAAAATAATCAATAGTGTTACATATAATCCAAAATTAACTTTGAAATTAATAAATGAAATCACAAGTTAAAATGTTAATTCGTCTAAAAAAATCAATTCAATACTAATAAATAATCCAATTTTCAATGCTATAGACGAACCACATAAGATCTCAAATATTTTCAACACATTTTTCATTGATATAGACCACAAATTGGCTGAAAACAACACAATAAATGATAATCATATTAATAATATTTACCTTTCAATGGAAATTCGTATGATAATATTTTTAATGAACAGATAACGGGACAAGGTGTCCTACAAATACTAAAAACTCTTAAATAAGATACAGAAGCAGGTTTCGATAAAATAACAGTTAAATTATTAAAAAAAAAAAAAAGCTATATATCAGATCCACTTCTATACATATAAGTAATCTGAGTATTAAAAACTGTATTTGTCCTGATAAATTTTAAGTAGCTGTAGTAGTTCCACTTTTTAAAGGTGGAAATCGGACAGACATAAATACCTATATCAACGAATGGTAAATTTGCAAAAATATTAGAAAAAATCATCAAAATATGATTAATGAAATACTTTGAATTTAACAAATTACTTTCAAGCAACCAATTTAGTTTTAGACCTTGTCTAAATACGGAAGATTTACTATATAGAATAACTAAGTTTATAAGTAATTCTTTAGACAAAGGTGAAAATTCTTTAGCGATTTTTTTAGACTTGAAAAAAGAATTTAACACAGGTAATCATACCGAATTAATATAAATTCTCCCTAATTTTTGTTTAACAAACAAAAGTCAACTTTGATTTACTAATTATCTAAAAAATATAATACAATTAGTCAATATTAACGGTATATCAAGTGAAAAAAAAGTGTTATCTGTGGTGTACCTCAGGGAAGTGTGCTTGGGCGAATTCTTTTTATATTATATATAAATAATGTTTGTAACATTAAAAAAAAGGTCAGATCGTCATATATATAAAGGACGCATGTCTGCTTTTTTCAGACAGGACATGGGAATCTGTTCACAATAAGGCAATAAATGAATTTAAAAAAGTTGTACGTCTACTAACATACATGAAATTGTCATTGAATATTCGTAAGAATTTTTATGTGAAGTTCACTATAAATAGTATGCATATTCTTTTAAATGAATTAAAAATTCACTTTTGTGAAACTAACGAAATATATATTAACACAAATATATGTAAACGAATTCCAAGAGCCCAAAATTATCAGATATTTAGATGTTACTTTTGATAGTTATTTAAGATAGGATACGCATATTAACAATTTAATAAAGAGTTCGCGTATATCAGTTCATAATTTTTGTAAACTTTATTCAATTTTACCAAAACATCTAATTATAATAGTATATATGCCATTTTATCGAGCAGTTTTCCAATATGATATAACGATTTGGGATGGCGCAACTAAAAATGTAATCAATCCACTATAACTACAACAAAATAAAATGATAAGAGTTCGTCTAGGTAAAAAAAATTGTAACAGTACTAAACTATAACGATTTAAAAGTTTTGCCATTTAAATTAATCTACTAACAATTTGCGACATTATGAGTAGTAAAAAATATAAACATTTAGTTTAAGATAGACACAATAGAAACTAAAAGAAAAGACAAAGCATACAATGTCCCTGTAGTATATACGAATACCCCGTTTGGTCAAAGATTTCTGGACTACCTAGGTCCTAATCGTTTTAATTCCACGAACACTGAAATACTTAAAAGTGTGAACAAATTTATAACTAATTAGGCGTATATAAACATGGATCATTTTTAATAATACTAGGTTTTATAACTGTATGTTTTCCACACTTCAGAATTAAATTGTTCGTATATGTTTGTAAACTCGTTTAATTTTATTTAACTTAGTTATAAATATAATTTAACAATTGTTTTATTTATAATGTTCTTAATGTTATGGCTTTATATTATTATTTATGATGTTATGTAAATTAATTGTATGTACTACAATTCCCTACACCATCACAAGCTTAGCTTAAAGGTGTACGCAATTTTTGTTATTATTTTAATAATAAAAATGTTTAATAAAATAAAAAAAACAATTTCATTGATATTGTCTAACAACTGTTCTGCCGAAAATCAATAGTTTCAACTGTATTAGCCCGAAAAAACAGGCATTCTTTTATACTCCATAAATTAACGAAACGCCATTTACGAGGATGTCAGTTTCACTGTTTTAAATACGTATTAAAATACTAAAACAGAAAAAATGTTTATCACGCGAAATGGTTTCAAACTCTTGTCTATTATACAATTTTATCAGTGGACAAAAATTCACATTTATTAAACAAATTACAGTTATTTTAAATGATTTCTAATCATCTATACAAATACAATACTATACAAATTTTGTATAGTATACAGGGTGCCCCACGAATATATGTGTATATATTTGGTATATACCCATTGTAATATATCTGATGATAAAAAAGATTATCAAATTCTGTTTTTTTTTTTTTTTTAGGGCTAAAAATATTTATGTTGTAATTAATTTTTTATACTTTGATAATAACTTGAAAAAATAACTTTTTATTTTATTCAGAGAAGAGTACCTCTAATTATGCAGCAGACGTAAACCGCATTCTCTAACATTGATTATTATAATTACGATTAATTGACTGAAGGTACCCTTTTTTTCTCTAAACTTTAAAAAATCATTAAAAATCACAAATTTAATAAAAATAAAAAGTTAATACGTCAACATTTTCAGAAGAACAAACTCTACAAAATTGCTATCTACACATTTTTCAAAAATGATAAAATAAAAAGCTAATTTTTTTACCAAAAAATTAATTAATTGTAATATAAATATTTGTAGTTCTAATCCCAGTGAGTTATATAAAAAAATAAAACAGAATTTTTTTTATTTTTATTATCTCGGGAGACGTAACAATGGGTATATTTTCGTGGGATATCCCGTATTGTCTTAATGCGTGGTCATCGGAATAAATTGTACACGAGTCATAATAATATTTAGTCGATGCATCACACACTGTCACTGGAAACGCTATATAGTTTAAGCAACTGAAAAAAAATGAATGTGTAGTTCTTATATCTGTAATATAATAATAATATTACTAATAATAATAATAATAATAATAGTAATAATAATAATAATAATAATAATAATAATAATAATAATAATAATACGGATATATTTTTCGATTTGGGCTTTTTTCAATTCCCTACAAAACGAACTTTGTTTCACAAAATTAACGCCACCACACCAACACTCGGGTCTCAATTATCGCGGGTTGTAATCGTGCTGTATAAACTATTATTCGCTCAAAACACTACAGTGCTGCCATTAATCCGCAGACGGGAAACCGAAATTAATCGTTTAATTAAAACGTCCATTTTGCTCGCACGCCTTTTTCTCAGTGCGTGCTGTAACGCCGACCACCTTTGTAATGCCTTTACCCGCATATACTAATCTCCAAAAGAAGCTTCCGTGCGGCGGTGTAGGTTTAGTAACGACGCGAATGAGCCATGCCACGAAAAAACCTAATGCTGGATTTGTAATAAATCCCCCCGAAAGTCAGTTTCTTCGGAAACTTGAACAAAACAACAAAAAGTATTTTTATTATTTTTTTTCTTATTTTTACGGCTTTTGTAATTCTTTGGCGGTGGTGGTTTCGGAGTCGGTGATGGTGGTGGTGGTGATAGGCGGAGGCAGACGAATAATGGTTGATGAAAAAAAATACCTCAATGTATATTATGTGAATAAATCTGCGAAAACCTTACGGATTTTCTATTTTTAATTTTTTTTTTCTTCATGACCACCTTATTATGATATATTATATTAAAAGTCGTATTCAAAAACTGGAAAGTTTGTTCAAAGCATTATATAAATGTACTTCGATTTCGAGATTCGTTTTTTTTTTTCTATAACATCCATCAAAGAACCGACAGTGTAGGCTCCGGGAAAATTATCACAAAGGTGGTTAAACAGAATGATAATAATAATAGTAAAAATTCCGACAAAGGTAAAGGAATATAATACGTAAAGGTACCTTAATACTTGATATTATTATACTGTTCCGCTTTGAAGTGTTGCTGTACTGATATTTTGAAATAAAAAATAAAATTCAATATCTTTATCTGGTCTCGGTTATTTTTTTTTTAATATATTAATATATATATTTTTTTTATTAAATAATATGTTTGTATTTCTTGTAAAATCTTAAAAAATAAATTAACAATCGTAGCGCGAGTACAACAAATTATTACAATAGCATAACACCGTTAAGTTATTTCATTAACTTGGTCTTAAGTTCAAAATGTATTGATTGTATTATTGACATTAAATTTTTTTTTATCATAATTATTTAATTCTGAATATTAAATTATGATACTTGTTTAAGTGCAAAAGTTGTGTAATATCACGAACTCGAAATTTGTACCCTCATAAGAAATATCTGTAGTGAAGTTTCGAACTAAAAATACATTCTCAGGTGTTACACTTAGTTCACATATTAGCAGTTTGTTGTTGGAACAACACAAATTTAACATTGAAAGGTAACCATTTGCGGATCGGCGAACGAAAAAACTAAATAATTTCAGCATCTGCAGGTTTGCAAGCAATAGGGATATTTGTTGTTAGTCCGTAGTTGTGGGAAGGACGAGTTCGGCATTGCACATATCAGTTTACAATATTAATTATTCTATTACCGGTGACTTATACATATTTTATACAATCCATAATAGTGTATTATTAGAAAATGAAAAACTCTTGATTTTGATAATTATCAGTTTGTACGTGATAAACGAATGTGCAACCTAACGATAAAGTTCAGTCGGTGAATATAATCCTTAAACACACGGCCTTCGGGTTTGTTATGACAGATGAAGGTGTCACAAAACTAAAGATTCATTTATACAATAGAATTTCAAATTGTTCAAATAGAAAAAAACGATACGTGTTTGTGAAAGTGACGCGAAGAGTTGAAACGGATATTCAAATTAGATTTGGTTTGTGAGGTTGGTCGCACTGGAAGATGACGACGCAGTGTTTCCCCCGAACGTAGCATGTGATATGCCGGTTCGGCGATTTATTTTTGAAAAACCGTTGCAATACCGACCAAACGGGAACCCCGATCGTGGACGTTATCGATCGACGGAGCTAGAACGATTCCAGCGAGTATCTTTTATCGACGAAATGCAAAATGTAAATACCTGTATTTTTTTTTTTTTATGTACATACCAAGTTTGTAACGGCGAATAATCATAAAGGTTTAGTAGAATGAATAAAAAAAAAAAAACAAAGGCTTACCTTGAGACCGGCTGCAGCGTTTCCGTTAACGATGGCGGCGGTGGCCGAAGGGCTGACCAAGTTTGGATTCCCTCCGTTGGACAGCGTGGCCATGGCGGCAGCGGCGGCGGCCGCGGCCGCCGCCGCAGCCGTGGACCCGCCGCCGGCGCCGGCCGACGATGGTGCGGGGAACGCCATGTGATTGCCGTAGTTGGCGGGCATCGAGAACGGCACGAATAGCATCTGTTGTTGCGTCAACTGCTGCTGGTGCTGGTGATGCTGATTGGCAGCTAGCGTTAGGGCCGCGGCGGCGTTGGCGACGCGACTGCAGTGGCAACTGAGGCCGTCCGCCTGCAACTGGTGCAGATGGTGGTGATGGTGTTGGTGTTGGTGTCGGGCCGTGGCTGCGATCGACGTGAGCTGTTGCTGCGTCGACGGCGGCTGCGGCAGCGGATACGGTAACGTCCTGACGGCCAGTCTGGAGTTACGACGCAGCCGTACGGGTCCTGCCGGACGTATCGGCCGCTGCTGGAGTTGAAGGTGGTGTTGGTGCTGGAGCTGGTGCTGATGGTGGTAGTGTTCGGCCGGAAACGCCGGGTCGTAACAAGAGCAGAACTGCGGCAGCTGTAGCGACGGCGTCTGCTGGTGCAACTGTAACGCGAAGTCGCAGTCGACGGACGCGGTGGCGGCGGCTGCGGCTGCGGCTGCGGCGGCTGTGGCTGCGGCGGCAGCGGCGGCTATTCCGGCGTCGTCGCTATTATCGCAACCGGCTGCGGCGGCTGCTGCTGCGGCTGCGGCGGCGATCACGTGCTGTAGACCGCGGTCGTGACGATAACCGACCACCGAATCTTTCCTGGGAACGACGGCGGCGGCAGTGTAGTGAGGTGGCGACAACGGGCCGATGGCGTTTAGAGGACCGCTGGCGGCACCGGCGGCGAACCGTTCCGACGACCCTTTGAACGTTGTCGTGACTTCCGTGGCTAACCGTCTACAACATGCTCGACTCGAGTCCGTTTATGACAAATCGAACCCGACTGCGGTCGAAAATCGCGGGGAAAAAAACGACGGCCGAAAAACCGATATGTGCTCCGCGAAAACGGAACGGCGTGCGGTCAAACGACGGAGTCGACAATGCGGGCGCGGAGGAGACCGTGTAGAATCGTTTGCAGAAAAAAAAAAAAAAAGAAAGAAATTTAAAACAAAGTGACTAACGAAAATAACGAAAATATCGAAAACGGAAAGAAAAAAAAAAAAATGTTGACGAAAAATTTCGCGGGCGACACGCGCGCACGAAACGCACACTGAAACGCACACGTGCGGGGGGTCCTATTTGAATGCGATAACACTTACGTCGTTGGCGACGGCGTGTACTTTTCGCGTACCGGCGTCGGCGGAGATTGCACCGCAGCGTGTTTTCGCTTCGGTATAATGAGCAGGACTACTACCACCGCCGCGCGCCGTTCGAACGCCGCGTGAAGGGGTGTCAGCCGCCGCCGCCGCCGCCGCCGATCAGACCCGTCAGAGAGCGCCTACGGACCTCTATTTTTTCCGACCCCTTTTCTCTAGCGTCTCGCCGCCGGCACGCCGCCGGTCTATTCCGCCGGTGGTGGCGTACGCGCACAAACGCGCGCGCACCGCGCACGCATACGCGCGAGTGTGCGTTCCGTACAAACGGTACGTGTGTGTGTGTGTGTGTTGTCGCGCGTATTCGGTTCGAGACGCGCGAGGCGGTTCTTGTTGTAGCGTTTTCGTCTTTGCGCGCGTAGACAACGTCGTCGCGTTTCACGGGGACCTCGCGGGAAAACGTCCGGAATCGTTGACGGCCGTAACGCGTTTTGACGCGCGTCTCGCGTTATCCGCGCTGTCGAGAATCGCGCAGAGCGCCGCGCGCGTAGAAACGCGTCCTCGTACAGCGCGTCTCCGCCGCGTCCGGCGCATATTCCTGGCGGTGTCGTCGACGTTACGTTTTTCTCAAAAATCCGTCTCCCGTCGAGGAGGACCTTGTTGATTTGTCTCCGTTCCCCGAACACACGCGCGCGCGCGCGAAAACCTTTTTACCTATTGAATTTTCAAAATGGCCATTTCGTAAAAAATCTAATGTACCGTGGACGTTCACATCCGGTCGACAGTTTTTTGTTCGTAACCGTTTTAAGTTTTCTAGGGAAATATGCGCGAAGACAATTGGTATTCCATAGAAGGCGACAAAACAATTATCGATTATAATTCCTAATCGCATAACGTGTTTTTTTTTTTTATTTTCAATATCGATTGCTTTCACGCCTTATTGGAACGGCTATAACCGAGAAATCATTCGTCGTACAGAGGTGGCCAAAATTCGCACAACGCCTACCGTCTTGTATGGAACGCGCGTAACGGCGCGGTTTCTCGCTTCACGTCGTTTCCGTTACGTCATATTGCAACTTTGGTCTCGTTATCTTGTTTACGTACAACGACAGCAAAGTTTATAAAAAAAAACAACATATTCAACATAAAACACAACAGTTTTAAAAAAACTGTTTTTCAAATTTGTTGCGCGACTTTTGGCCACCTCTGTATATGAATGTGTGATACATTAAAATCGTTTTGATAATAATTTTTTACGAAATGGCTGTTTTAAAGATTTTCTAAAGTAAATAAATAAAAAGCTATTCGATCTTTTGTCTTCGGGGGATGAAAATACCAATTTATCCGAATCAATGTGCTCCTCGAAAACAAACTGATCGCAAAAGAAAAAAAAATTAATATTAACAGCTCTTGAAAGATCCGTCGAACATAGCGGGACACACTGTATTATATTATGTCCGGATACATAATATAAACGTCCGAATTATTCCGCGACGCGAGGTGACCGTAGTCTTTCCGCCGGGAACGATTATTGAACCTCTAGTCTTCCATACGCCGATATATTACGAAGTTGTACGTGTTTAAAAAAACAAAAAAAATGTAATATTTTACATTGGTTTTTGATTGAAAATAATAATCTGGTTGTAGTTTTTTGGCGAATAGCTTTTTTGTTTTTTTTTGTTTTTGTAGGAGGATTCGGCGGACTTCGCCACCCCTCTGATCGGCACCTACATTCCCGGTCCACGGCCTTTTTATAGGATTTCGTCACACGGAGGAGAGGGAGAATATGTATCGGCACGCCGATTTTTATCGACAGAAAAATTGCAATCATTCCGTTTATCCGAGAGCACGGTCCACGTGGTCGCTCCTTTTGTCCCCCTCCTCATACAGTTTTTGCGAACAGTTTATAACATCGGCCAATAATTAGAAGGATGTATATTTCGAATAAAATATCTCTTTTTTTGAAACACTCATATACATAACTGCTACTAATTATATAAAATCAAAATTAAACTTGAATCGGTGTGTATGATAAAAGACCTCCTTTTCCGTGTTCAATGTTATCTAGCGAAATCTAACAAAATCGGTAATATGCGCTACACTGTTCCTTATCTCGTATGCTGATGAGCGAGACTCAACTTTCACTGTTTCTCGACTCTTCAAACATTCTTTGCGCCAGTCGAAAATCTCGTACACTTAGTATGACATTTTCGTTTACCGTTTGTTGCAACTTTCATTTAGTCTGATCCATAGAATTACCAAACCCGATAGAGTATTATTTAAAATATTTTTGAATAAAAAAAAAAAAAAAACCCACCAATATTGGTTTTCAAGTATGGTCTTCAAGTGTTTGCCACCCCAAAGAATTATTCATTATCATGCCTATAATGCGGGCGGGGGGATCTGAACATAACGACTATTAGGTACAAAATCACTACAAATATTTTTAGGTAGAAATTGGTATAATACATAGTACTAACTTCTTTGAACTGTAAATCTATTAAAACAAATAATAAAATACGATAAAAAATTACAGTAAAGAGTAAATAAGCAAATAGTTTTTATTGAATATTGACTGTGAATGTCAATAAGAAATAAAATAATTACAGAAAATGTATCAAAAATAAATAAATTATTAAAAAAAAAAAAAAATGTCAAGGGGGAATACGGAACTCTCGTTCTCTATCCCGAGAGTACACTTTCCCAATCGTTATGAAATACACCTTTGTAATTTTCCTTATTTCCACGTATTTCTTCCGTATGCTGGAAATGTAATCTATAAATCGAAAACCAGTCAACTAAATATAATAATTATTGTTGTGAGCAATTTATTTTCAAATCATTAGATTTTTTTTTTTTTATATAATTTTACCTTTTAAACAAGAATGCTATTTTTTTTTGTGTTTGATCAATAATTTGCAACCATAATTTATGATGAATTTTTCGAAATTTTTTATACGGTGATATTCTATACAGAACGTTTTGTATAATATTTTGGAACATATTATAGTGATAAAATAGTCCGGATATAATAACGCGTTTACTTAAATATTAATACCAAACCGATGGAATAACAAGTGTAATCGTTTTATTCGTCTTCGTGATACCTAACAAAATATTCATTTGATTAGAAAACTTTAAATAATTGTGTATATTTTAGCGGTCAACATTATTGTAGACTTTGTAGACATTGATAACTTGTTTTTTTTTTTTAATTGACATTCTAGTTTCATGCATTACAAAATGATATAATAAAATAGTGTCTATAGTCCCATAGTGCAGGTCCATAAAAAAAGGCTATCCTAGGGCAATGGGGACGAGTGCAGTCGGTATTATAGGTAATTTAATGTATATCCGTTACCAACGATTAACCATTGCTGAAGAACAATGATTCTGAGCGGAGTTCGGTTAATAGTAATGCTTTGTCAACAATATTTATGTAATTTTATATTAAAATAATTAAATAGGCATTATATATTTTTTTAAAAAAATTTGTCGAATTTTGTACCAATTTTGTAGTATTTTCTACGGTTTTCCCAGGGTTTTTCCGGATTTCCCATTTTTTGAGAAAACCAGTGAGAAAATTAAAAAAACGACCAAAATTAAAGAACCTTCCCAGTTAAATTTCCTTTTTAGAAAAAGTACTATTATTGTATATCGGATAAAAATATCTGGTAGAAAAGTTATTCACAATACGAAAAAGGCTGTAATATTTTTTATTCTGAGTGGAGCGAAGAAGCTTATGATTTTACAAAGATATTTATTTTTTTTTTCCGTGAACAACTTTTCAACCAGCGTTTTTGCCCCAACTTTTATTCATGGTAATGTTTTTAAAATTAAATTTCACTAGAGAGGTACTTAAAGAGGCTGTTTTTCGATTTTCCCAGGAGTTTTCCCAGCGAATTTGAAAAACTGGGATAAAACATGAGAAAACTAGGAAAACGTAGGAAAATAGGAAAAATCGGTACAACATTCAACAAATTTTATAAAAAAAAAATACATAAAGCCTATTTAATTATTTTAATATAAAAAGACACAAATATTGTTGAAAAAGCATCACTATCAACTGAACTCTGCTCAGAATCACTTTTTTGTAAGTAATGGTTTATCGTTGCTTACAGCTATTTATTAAATTATCTATAACAGTGGCTGCACCCGTCTTTATTTTCCTATAACGTTTTTTTTTCACCTCATACCTACATTTCGTACATTTTCCCGTTTTACCGTTATTTTTTATCGGTTTTTCTAATTTAATGAGAAATCTCCTGGGAAAATTAAAAAATGGCCTGCTTAAAGTACCTCTAAACGTCGATTTCCTTTTAGAAAAACGCTGTTAATCATTGTAAATCTGAACAAGAGTTACGGTAGAAAAGTTGCGCAAAGGTAAAAATAAAAAAAACTAAATTAACATCTTCATAAAACCATAAGCTTTAGATAAACTTTACCTTTGAATAAAAACATTTAAAGTAAAAAGCCCTAACGATATTACAACATATTTTTAAATTCAAACAAATTGTAATATTCGAAAAATTAAAATCAATAACGAGCTAAGTGTCAAAAAGAAATATTGATTTAGACATGAAAAACTAATCTATAAACCTCGCCAACAACCAATAAAGAGCGTTGTGTGCCACGACCTTAATAGTAGTGTGTACAAGGCCCACCAAAATAACGTGAGAGCTATGTGCCGGGACCGCTGGTAAGGTTATAACGGAAACAACTCAAAAGTAACTGGAAAAAAAATCAATTGGCACATGGCCCGTTATTGATTTCAAGTCTTCATTTTATGAACGATTTTTTTAAAAAAATAATAAGTACTGTAGTTATATTATTGTTATATGTCGGTATTATACGAATATTATTATAATATTATAATATATCCGATTGAAAAGGTAAAAATTGCATGCCCGTTAAGTTGACTTATTGACATATTTTGCTACAACTTTAAAAATGAGACTATGGAATTTTTCTACGAAAATTTCTCTATTGGCTACTTCCTACAGACCAATCAATTATACCAGCACTGATTCTTTGTCTGAATGACTCGAAATTAGTAACTATCAAAATATTCGTACAGAATTTTCTACATTTTGATCTACACACCGTTAAAATTTGGTGTGTTTACCGTAAGCAACCTTAAACAAATTAATGTCAAAAAAAAAAAATACAAGTTTGAGTTAAACTCAGTAATATGGCAAGATTGATGTAAATTACTAGTGTGCGTTTAATTTTTTAGAACTTAGAAAAGTGTGTTTCCAATGAAGTAATTAATCGACCGAAAATATCTGTTTTTTAAGGTACGGTGTTGAATGAATGTAAAACGTATTTTACTAAAACTGATAATTCTCAGAATCAAAAACAAAAAAATATTTAACGATTTATGCTGCCAACGTGACAAAAACGATTTGTTTCCAAATTTTCAATATCATATTAAACAGAAAAATTGAGTAATTATCGTGTTATATTATTTTAAAAAGTAACATTGCAATTTTAAAATATTAAATATGGTTTTGATTTATGGACAATTGTACATACATTATATACTCGTTTATCTGCATTAAATTAATATCATTGTAATGCCATTCAAATTGAAAATGTATTTCTAACATATTACTGAGATCTAGCACCTACATAAGTTACCTTATTAAGAATATCAAAACTTCAATTTAAACAAGTTTTCTGTGAATAGCGGTTTTTTATGTTATATTTTTTTAAATTGTTTTTTTGTTTACAGGATCCTTGGCATCATAGGCCAGTGGAAATAATCACTATCACTGGTTTATAATAATATTTTATATTATTATGATTTATAGATTATAGAAAATAGTAAATGAGGACGAAATAAAAAAAAAAAAAAAAGAAACAATACAATTTCAAGAATAGTGTTCAAAA